TCTTGCGGTCAAATAATCTAAGCCGAATCCCGCCACCCACAGGCTGCGTTGTTAAAAGGGCGTTTTTAAAAGAATGACCAGCTAGCGATTCATTCACATACGGGACGATGAGGTGAGGGTGGACTATATGAAAAACGAATAAATTTGCCACGGACGTCGGACATGGACAGCGGACGCTTTTCTTTTATAGGACAGTATGGCGCGTCAAATGTTCAAGCATTCGGCAAGGATTTCGGGACCGAGATTCCTTCTGTTAGTATTTTAAGTGGTCGTTGATGCTCGATAAATTTCGAATAATAGGTAGTACATTCTGAAGATTTTCCTTTTTTTTTTCTTTTATGAATATTATTTATTATTTTAAAATTGGTTTATACCAATACTAAACTAATATAATAATACTAAAGCCCCATACTCACACTTCGCTACTTCACTTCGTTCCTTCCTCGCGTCCCTTCATCCAAAAATCATATATTTACTATGGGAAATTGTCGATTTATGCGACTGTGTGTTTCTTCGCTCCTTCGTCAAAACGCTCCTTCGTCCGTTTACTTCCTCGAAACGCTCCTTCCCCGTACTGTCGGTTTTTGGAGGAAGTAGCAAAGGAATTATCACGAACACAAAAAATATTAAAATATATAAAATATATAAATCGATCTTGGATTTCATTCGTAGTTGATTTCTTGATTTGGCAGTTCGTCTGTACCGGGTGTCCCATTTTCGTGTGTTTTGCAGGGTTTCTCGTTTATGAACCGAGCTACAAAGATGCGGTTTTCCCATTACGATGTTACTTTTTTTTATGAAACTAAAGATGCTACATACAGATATGTCCTAGCTCTCTTACTTTCTAATATTCAGGGCGAATCTGAAATTATTGCATTTTTCGATTCCCTTTGTATCTCGATTATCTTATAACTTATCGATAAGGTGAAAACGGTGTTCCCCGTACAGTTTTTCACGTAGAATGCAGTGACGTAACTAGTTCTTCGTTAGAATCTGTCGATATTTTGCGATATTATTTTATTTTCCTCTTTACCGGCTTTCTAAAATACTTACATATTTTCATAAACGGGGTAAACATGCATTATTTAACTTTATTACATAGTCGGCCGGTTTAAATTAGGTAATCAAAACAATCAACTAATTTATTCGACGTAAAATGTGAGTTATTGGCTATGCCACGCTAATTTTTATGTATAGTTATAATATAACTCTAAAATAAGAGCCGTTTAGCAGTTTAGCAGTACCTAAATAAATAAGTATACCTAGAGTATACATATTATAATTTTAGAAAGCTCATAACAAGGCAAATAAAATAAAAATAATATATAGAGTGTCCTGTTTAAAAAAAAGAACATAAGTTTGAGTCATTTTTCGAAATAGACAGCTCCCAACGAAGAACTTGTTTCGTCACTGCATTCTACCTGAAAAACGAGACACGGCTGGTGGGTAAGTACTCAATAGGTAAAAAAAAACAAAATTAGGGTATCCGGTATATATATGTACATTTAGATGAACAGTCTAATTTTATAAAAGGTATTTCCAATGACCGCATAGTAAATATCCGGTATAATACCAGAAATATAAGGATAAAGTAATATCAGGAATATATCTACAATATTCCTAATATATATTGGTATATTCCTGTTCCCGGTATTATACCGGGTATTTACTATGCGGTTGTCGAAAATACCTTTTATAAAATTAGGATGTTCATCTAAATGTTTATATATATATATATATATATATATATACTCATATATACCCTTTTCACCTTTTTGATAAGTCATAAAATTATCGAGATACAAAGGTTATCGAACAATGCAAAAATTTCTACTAATTAAAAAATAAAAAGTATAAAAGAAAGAAATAAGAAATAAATTTGAACTAAGGAGGCTAGGATAAATCTGTGTGTAGCATATTTAGTTTCATAATAAGTAGAACAATGATGAAAACGGCATCTTTATATCTCTACTCATAAACCAGAAACCCCATAAAACACACAAAAATGGGACACCCTGTACATCTAGCAATCTATATAAAATAGATATCACACACAATAGTCTTAAAAATGGAAGGAAAAGACAATATTGTCTTCATATTTGTGAAGAAATACATGTCCATATTTATGTAATCGTAGCGACAAAAATAAAAAATAGAAATAGTGTGTATGATGCCTTTACAAAAATATCTGAAGAAATGGGGATTGACATCAACGTTTAATTAATATGTCATATTTCATAGTTTCGATATAAATGACATAATAAACTTTACTGTATTGTTGACTGGCCTTGTACATTCATACTGTATACCTTGTACATGATACTGAAATATTCGGATTTATTAAAAAAAAATTATATTATTAAAATTCAATTTTTATTTTTGACACGGCAAAGAATTGCCGTTTTATAATAAAAATTTTAGAGGGACTATATAGATATTTCGTAATAAACATGTAGCTCTACTATATTAAAAATATTTTGTGGTGTGTTGTTGCATAACCGACTAATTTCCAAGCATCGAATGGACGAAGGAAGGAAGCGAAAGGACGAAGTAACGCGAGGAAGTAAGGCGAGGAAGTAACGCGAGGAAGGGACGCAGGAGCGAAGTGTGAGTTAGAGATGGGCAAAAGTAACCGGTTTTTTGAATAACCGGTATTTTCCTCTAAAATAACCGGTTATCTAAAGATAGTTTTTTTTTCACCAGTTAACCTAATAACCTTGCATTACGTTCAATAACCTATAGCCGGTTATTTTTTAAAAAATCGTACTTGTTTAAAACAAGTAACAATTAAATATTAGCTGTTTGAATCGTAAATTTCGAAGGAGCGAACGGCACGGATCTTCCAGATATTACGACGATAACGGGAGATCCTGCCCTGCTCCCAAAACGAAATATATGACATCAAACATCAAATGTCAAAATTAAATCAGGCATCAGGCGAACCCTGATGATAATAATCAAAACAACGGCCAAATGGCCCTGACAGGTCAGGCCGTAAAACAAAGTACTAATGGCATAGACTACTACTAGCCACCAGCTAGCCAAGTGATACGAACCTAACTTCAAATAGATTCTCTAAATTCTATATTTAAATTTTAACCGACTTTAACGGATTTTCAACGGTTCTTCAAAAGTCTTCCATGGTTTCGCCCAGTTTCACCCACGTTTCACCGTAAATATATTTTATTTGTAGTTTGAAGTCTCTCTTGAAGCTTAGACTAAAGAATACAAAATTAAAGTTCAAGTAATGAATGAAGATAATCTTTCATTATCTATTCATTCAGTCTCCTTATTTTTCTTTGGTATTTGATTAAAATAACTTGGTTGTAGATTGTAGAACTTGTGAGTTGTGTGGTTTATTTGAACGTTAAGTAATTACTAGTTTTAATATCATATCCATGTCTACTCAAAAAAGTGAGGTTAGCATTTTTATTTAAATTCATTTTGTACATATACATACTTACATTGCTACAATCTCTATTTAATCATGCGATTTAACTAAGTTTATTATCTAAATTTGAAGTAGACCTATTGAGTGTAGAGGTAAGTAAACCTATAGGAAAACTAAATATTTAGTTTTGCTAGGTTAGATTATTTGAATAACCGGTTAATTTGTGTCGGTTAATTTTGTCAAGTTATTATTTTTTAAAGATAATTCCGGTTAACCTATAACCGGTTTTTTTACCAATAACCGCCCATCTCTAGTGTGAGTATGGGGCTTAAGCGTATAATCGTAGAAGCAAGATGTATTATTTTTTCTTGAAAAGAATTTTGTGTATTTTGCGACTAGAGGAGATTCGACAAAAAATACTTAACATTTTAGGAGGTATATCTTCTCCCATCGCGTCAGAAGCAAAAGAACATAAAGAGCAAAAAAAACTATTTAAAATATCTAAATACAACTATTCAATAACTTGCTTGGTGCATTCTCCGCCGGTGCTGCCACCATCAGAGAATATCGTAAACAACTAGTACTTACAAATACACGGGTTTAAATAGCTAGAATACGAAAAATTTATTATACAGGGTGGCGCACCTCATTCGTCTCGGTTGATTATACGAAAACGGAAAGATGTAGAAACAATTTTTTTTATGCGTATATGTAGAGAGGTAATGAGCATAATTTAAAATTAATTTCAAATGTACAGGGTGTGACAGAACTAAGATCCATACCAAAGTTATATTTTTTCTTATGGAACACCCAGTATTTTATTTCATTTTTGGATTCTTGGGCATAAAATAAGACATTAATTATAAAGGTTTAATATGTATAAATGCTTTGGTTTTTGAGATATTTAAAGATATTTAAATATGCATGCTATAATAAAAACGTTTGTCAACACCCTGTACATTACTTTTCAGACTTAATTCTTGTGGTGACTTTGAAGCCAGAAAAATAAACTTTACTAAAAAATGTTATTGCTTCCTTAAATGTATACAGGGGTACCAAAAATTGCTGGGCTATTTTAAATATTTATTTTACATAAAAACTTCGTTATTTCAAATCCAACACTATGTATTTTTTAAAACAAGTCGAAGCAGATTTAAATGCTGTTTCAAACTATATTAAGGTTTCCTATACCTATCTGGCTCAGATTTTGAATAAAAAGCGATTTTTCAATAAAATGGCAATCAAGATAGCTGGTGTCGCCATGGCAATTTGCTAGTGACAGTTAGTAGCTATTTTGAAAATCTACATTACTTGATGGACTTTATTTTATCTGAGAAAATAAAAAAGTTATAAAGGTCTATTCTATATTTAGGTCATTTTTCAAAAGTCTAAAATAAATTTGGACTAGTTTTGAGTTTTACCTGAAGATATAAAAATTGAGCCCTAACAAAATTGCAAGAAATCGATATAACTTGACAAAGCGAGACTCTACTCTAATTATTCCAAACGCTATCGTGTCGCAGTCCTTTCTATTTACCCTCCGCAAACCTAAAACCGGGTTTCTATGGAAATTAAATAACTTTATTTATAATATTCCCCTCGGTTCAGGTATCGCCGTGACAGTCACTCTAGCGACAGCGTCAGCTCATCTGTCCCGCGTGTTTGTCAAAAATTTCGTGTTTTTTGTGTCGAAAAATCCCAAAACCATGTCCCTGGATATAATATCGGACTATTCCAAGGTGGATCTCACCGAGATACCGCAGAAAATTCTCGATATGACCAATCTGAAAATGTTATTCCTGGAAAGGAACCTCCTAACCAGGCTTCCCGATAATTTTTTCCATAAATTGCCTCAGTTGATGTGGCTGGACTTGAGGAATAATTTTCTGAGTGGTTTGCCGAAGAGTATCGGACACCATGAACATCTGGAACATTTGTTGTTGACTAATAATAAGATTGAAAGCCTGCCTAATGAACTGGGTAAATAATTATAATTATTAATTTTAACTTTCTAGCCAAAGCTGCAAGCTGAGAGAAAACTTAGCGAAGCCTTTCTTTGATTTAAATATTTTAAATGATTACAGTTGGGGGTTGGAATCTTTGGTGTTACACAGCAAAATAAAACACTAAATCACCACAATACACCTAAACACTTTTGGTGTATTGTGGTGATTTAGTTTTTTATTTTGCAATTTTTAATGAATTAAGTCACTTAATTCAATTAGTCTAGTTTTAATCATGTTCTGTTTAATCAACTGTTGATGATGCTAACGCGATTCTAGTGTCCGTTTTAGTATAGGACACCGTTAAGTGTAAGTTTAAATAAAATTTGAGATGACTCGCCTATTTAAAAATAAACATATTTCTTTATTTGTCGATATAGTTCGTTTATTTCATTAAAAAATTAAAAAAAAAACTGTTTAAATATTTGTTAAAGATGACCAATTAATATGATTTTAGTATTCAAAGTAAATTAATTGACTGTTGAGCGTTGATTAATAATAATTGCTCCAAATACTAAAAAACTGAATTTTGTATGTGTATTAGACAGTGTAGTAAAAAGTATCACCTTAAAAATTTTATTTCGTTTTTTAACAAATGCTTATACAGGGTGTCCCAGAAATAAGTGCAAATATTGGAAGTATAGTTCAACCCTAGAAACACGCCTATGAGGTTTTTTCGCGAAAAAAAAAATTGAATAATCAAAATTTTTTGAAAAATTTTTTGGAATTTTTTTTAGTTTTTAGTTAAAAAACATAATTTCTTGATAATATAGCAATATAGGTAGTAGACTAAATTTACAAGAAAGAAAATCCAGAAAAGATCCAGTGGTTCTCAAAATTTTAGCAAAAAATCATTTTTTTTGGAAATTTTCAAAGTAAAATAACTCCGTTATTTTGGACTTATTTGAAAAACGATAAAGAGAAAATATGTTTCATTTATCGAGATCTACCACCCCTTAAAATATTTGCACTTATTTCTGGGACACCCTGTATATAACAACACAGAGACGCTTATTTTCATAACTTATTATTATATTGATTTCTGATTCAAATCCACATTTATTTAGAATAATTTATTAACTAACACAATAAGGTATGTAATTAATTTGTATTTGGGCGGAAATAATAGTTGTATAGTCTATAAAATGAATAACTTTGAATTTTGACCGTTATTTTTTACCAACATGGCAAATATAAAATCCCTCTATCAAAAAAGTTACTGATATTCTTTAAATTGAATGCCTGAGCGAATCAGATAGGTAACTCTTTTTACTTTCATGAAATAGAAAAGGAAAGTAATAAAACAAGTGACAGTTCTTCCTCTTCTTGCAAAAATCAACACGAAATGTCATAATTGACAAAAGTAAAATGTCATCAGCTTTTGACATTTCTAAATATTAGACCAATGCCGTCTCTAATAGAACAGCCACGGAGCGAGATTTATGACGTCACGCTAGTTAGATACTACGGATTAATAAATATGTTGTAGAATACATGGAAAACATAATTATTCCTCGTATTTTTGGTTTGTGTTTTAAAAATGATACAGTTTACCTGAAATATACATAACATACAGTTAATAAATACAATATAATATATACCTATTTATAGTAATAAATACTTTGGCAAATAAACTATGAACCATACAAATGCAGCAAATGTTTTACAATATACAAATAATGAATATAAAAAATGTAAAATATATTTTAAATTTTGGGGTTTAAAAATCGATCTAATTTAACAAAAAACATTCAATATCTACTATTAGTGATGTATGTATTATTATTTGCATTCACAAAATTTATTTATATATTATAATGTTTACTGCAATTAATAAACTAATATAAACTTGTCAAAAGCTGACCACATATTTTTTTAAATTATTACTTTTAACACAAAAACTATCTACATTGACTATGGAGTACGATTTCAGCCATATTGTAAAACATTTTCTGCATTTGTATGGTTCATAATTTATCTGCCAAAGTATTTATTACTATAAATAGGTATATATACTATACATATTACTATAAATAGGTATATATATATATATATATATATATATATATATATATATATATATATATATATATATATATATATATATATATATATATATATATATATATATATATATATATATATATATATATATATATATATATATATATATATATATATATATAATGAAAAAATGATATAAACTATATCATTTTTAAAATACAAACCAAAAATACGAGGAATAATTATGTTTTCCATGTATTCTACAACATATTTATTAATCAGTAGTATCTAACTAGCGTGACGTCATAAATTTCGCTCCGAGGCTGTTCTATTAGAGACGGCATTGCGTCAGCATGGCCGCAAGTTGCTAACCCTTGCTAACCTAATAAAATTAACACTAGAAAAGCTCGCGGGAACTGTCAAATTCAAAGTTATTCGTTTTAAAGACTATATATTTATTTAATCGTATACTCTTTTATAAATATTTAAATAGTTTTCTTTTTGTATAAAACTGGACTAGTAATATTATATTTTTAGCACCTGTACCATTTGTATATTTGTTGCGTTAAAATCAATCCAATATGTCAATATTCCATGGGTATATTGATAAATGAGGTCTAAATTATAAGAAAATACATTTTCTACGAAAAGTTAAAGAGATGGGTAAAAAATGGTATAATACAATTTAATAGAAAGTTAAATTGCCGCATCTGATTCTCCTAAAATATACAGGGTGTTCCATTTAAATTAAATAATTTATTGCCGTTTAAAGCTAGAAATTATTTAAAATAAATTTTTAGACACTCTGTATGAGGTAGTATTATTTTTATTATTGCAACACAATAACTGATCAATAAATAAACTTCAGTAATTATTTAGTATTAAAAACTTTGATACCCTCGGAGAAATGAAGCCTTAAAATTTTTACAATTTCACAAAATTGAAAATATTTCAAAAACGGTAAGGTCTAAGTGTGATAAACCCTAATCATATTTACCTTTATTTTAATCGTAGAAACTAAAATGTAATAATATACAGGGTGTTCCATTTAAAAAAATACAACTTTGATATTTTTTATTTATTTGGGACACTCTGTATCTTGTAAAAATATGTTTAAATTGTCGCTCTAATAGTCCTTCAACGAACCCAAAACTTACAATTTGTAAAAATCTAATTGTTTAGCTACAATACTCGTATGTCGTATATGGTGAACAACCCTGTATAAACAAATTTAGTGTTTTATTTGCATAAGCTATTCTCCTCAAATTTCCCAAAATATTGCTTCTGTCGGGCGCATTCGAGGTAATCTCAATAAAAAATATTTTTAACACCAACGTAGGTTTCTTTATTTCATTTAAATTGTTTATTATACAGTTAGCCAAAATATACCTCTTCAACTTTGTTAACGTTAACCCTAATACTACAAATTCAATAAAATATTTTATTCTAGGATTAGTTCCCACATTGAAGGCGCTCCAAATAGCCAACAATCCGCTGGTTTATCCAGACAAAAAGATTGTCCAGGAAGGAACGAAAGCCATTAAAAACTATCTAGCTAAAAGATATGAGGAGGAGTGCGTGTACAGATCGAACCAGCAGATCCAGAAGAGTCGGGATGAGATTAGGAAGAGACTGGAGGCACTGGAAAGACAGGAAGAGAGACTCATTAAAGTTCACGAAGAAGAATGGAGTAGTGGAAGTCTCGACAACAACAACAATAAGAGTAAAGCAGCCAAAGTGCCAACTAGAGGTAGGGAGAATTAAAATAGAGTCTGTTATACAGGGTGTTTCAAAAAACATGTGACATTTCTCGTGAGGAGATTCCTCACGTAAAAAAAATATTTATTCTTCATATCAACATGAGTCCGATTCTACTTTGTTTCGTAGCTAGGGGAGGTTAAAGTCTTCATTTTTTTTTCGATTTATTATAATTTTTTTTCCAAGTGCTTGAAACATTCTTCCAAACTTCCAAGTGACATGAAATTTGGTGAGTAAAAATTACTATGAGATTCACCAGGATATTATGGGTTCCCAAGTAGCATTTTCACGACTTGCGACCACATGTTTACTAAACACAACGTTGGATTAGTTACAAAAAATAGTTAGCTCCATACCTTGAGTATTAAAATAAATGTAAACGTTGTTGTAACGTTGTGCCGACGTTGAACTAGTACTACAACAAAGTAAAAGCTTCTGCGACGTCAAATAAACGTTGTCTTGTAACCTTTTTTGCTTAAGTGATTTTTAGGTGATTCGCACAACGTAGTTACAATGTTGGGCAAAAAAGAGTTTTCCGACGTCACTTTCAGAACCTATTCCAACGTTATGCAAACGTCGTCTGTTTTAGTAATTCCAACGTTGTTTAGATTTCCTTATACGTTGGTAGGACGTCGAGCCACTACCTTTTTGCAACTGTGTTGAACCATAACCTTAAATCTTAAATTTTTACTTCACTGTTCTGTTCAGTCCGACAGTTCAGTGCTGTTTTTGTTTTTATAAAAAAAACTTAATTAAAACGGGACATAAGAAAAGCACGTATAAAACTAAATTTAAATATACATCGACATATTACCGATACTTTATCCACTTCCTCGTTTATTTAGAGTATAGAGGGCGGCACAAGCTAGACTCTAGGATGACTAAATTAGGCAATCTTGCGACTAGTATACTATCTGTTAAGGCTGAACTGCGACTTTATTAGTCCAGTATGCGACTACTCGAACTACTCCATCTTAATCTCCAAAACAACAAAGTGAAAGCCGCCATGTTGTTGAATAAGAAAATGTTTCGTTCCTAAAATAGCAATTCCTGCTTTTTGAATACATTAACTTGAAATATTTGATCCTAAACAACACGCGGAAACAATTTTTTTTTTCGACTGCGAATAAATTATTCTCATTTTACTAAAAAAAAAGTTGTTTGCGTTTAATTATTTTGCCTTGGGTAAAGAGTTACAGAGTTGGTTTAAGTGTTTCAATCATTATGATCTTCAAACATCCTCCACACTTAAATACTTTTGTTTTGTTTTGCTTTACTGCCATCTGGCATATGTCTCTAACTAAATCATAAAAATAATATTTTTACTATAATTATCCCAATTTAGGATAAAACGCAGACGCCATATTATTATAGTTTTGTATTTCTGTGAATTAGGATTTTAAACAACGTTGCAGTTTGTACTAAATTAGGCTGCTAGCCAACGTAGGTATCCAAAAATAATAAATAAAAAATATTGTAATATTTGAGGGGTGGTTTCACCTCCTTGGAATTTCGAAAAATCCCTTCTTATCGAACCTCTACACCCTAGAATCAACCTGTATGCCAAAATTGAGCTTCTTACGTTGAGTGGTTTGAGCAGGATCGTGATTAATCAGTGAGTCAGTCACTTAAGGATTTTATATATTAAGTATAGATATAGATGAATTAATACTCCATGATATTTTACACTTGCAGAGGGAAGATCAAGTCAGAGAACACTAAAACCCGTCACCCCCAACGCAGCCACCTCCACCAGAAATTCGTCAAACACTTCCCTCAAACTGGAACAAGCACTGACGGTCGAAAAACTCCAGAATAAATTCCTGGACCCTCGCACAGTCCAGAGCATCCAACAGCCGGCGCTTCGTGTCCAGAAACTGGAACATCCCCAGTCAAGATGGCCGCCAGAGGAGCCGCTAAAAATCGTGCACAATATCGACAAGAGCGACTCGAAAATCAAGCTGAAGTCGTACTACAACAAGCCCATAGAGCTGGATGTAGGGTCCAACGTTACGAAGTTACAGGAGAATGCGCTGAAGGAGGAGTGGATGAATAAGTTACGGATTTTGCTAAACGATCAGGAAAGGATTTTGCAGCAGGAGAGGTAAAAAAGTAGAGTAGAAATGAAGGATCTATTGGGACTTTTTATACAGTAAATATAGACATACATTGGATAGCTATTTAAATTCTCAGTCAAACCGTTTTAGCAAAATTGGAATAGTTAAAACAAAATGTTATTTCCATCAGACAAACACTGTATGATACTATGCAAGCATCTTTTAATGCATAACTATACAGGGTGGTCCGAACTGTATTCCGGAAACTTCGGCAGCTAAAAATAAGTAAAAAAGTTCGTATAAGTGTATGTCCTAAAATGCTTAGTTTCGGAGATACAGGGTGTAAAAGTTTCATTTTTATTTTTATTTTTTCCAAATAATTTATGAAGTAACATCAATATTTGGATGAAAATTGGTGTCTGGGAATTTTCTCACATGAGAAATTTGATTTTGATGTCAATATGACTTCAAATTATAGAGGGCGCCACCTACATATTTTTAACTGGTTTGAAGAGTAGTAACTTTTCGTCCGTACCTGTATAAAACTACGGAGTAAAAAATTAAACATTTACGACGTTTTTTACGTAAAAAATGTCTCTTGGTAAAAATTGCTGCGAGTAATGGTTCTAGAGATATTTCGAATCGAAATTCATTGTCATAAATTAAATATGTTGACTAAATAGTTATTAGACTGAAACGCAAACTAATTTGAGAGACGCGACACCTTATGGGAAATTTTTGGAAATTTTGTGTTCAAAAAGAGCTATGTTCGGAAGTTCGTCAATAGATGGCGATAGCGTCGAAAAGGGCGAAATAAATGACTAAAGAATCCAAGGGCAAATAACACCCAAGAGCAAATTGCGCCGATGTCACCAAACAGTGCCGTGGCACATATTTTTATTAACCTAGCTGTTTGAAGCAATATTTATATTTTTTGATAATTGTTTTGACTACGCCTATGGTGTATCATACTAATTAAGTACGAAAAAAAACGTATTAAAGTGTTAACAAAAGGTACAAAACTAGTATCGACGTATAGCACATATCAAGTACATATACAGGGTGTTTCAAAACAAATGCGAAAAACTTCAGGGGGTGATTCCTTGTTCAAAATAAAGGGTAGTTTGCTTCATAAACGTTGGGTCAAAAGTCAACCATTAGGGAGATATTGCGGAAAAATAATGTTTTTATTTTTTATCTTGAAAACGAAAAGAGATAGACTAATAAAATTTTATGGAAGCATTACTGTTATGAAAACACACTTTCTGATAATTTCTTCACTTTTTTAAAATGAGTGGAAGGGGTTGAAATGAACTACCCCTATCATTCTTGTTAACGAAATTTAAAGAAAAATCTTATCAAATACATGCAAAAAAAAATAATTTGGATAGTTTAGTTTGTTTAGAAACTTTTTTATCTCTTGTATTTTTTTGATAAAACTCACCGATTTGAAATTAAAAAATAAAATGTAAAGCATTACATGTCAGGACAAAAAACATTTTCTGATAAAGAATCTAATGGGCTGCTGTAATTTTTTTAGGAAAAAATCTAGTCGGCCGCTGTTACTTTTTAGGATGTTCCTAATATTATTTTATTTGACATTACTCTACTGCAATACGTTATTATCTAGATGATTATTATTATCGTTATTATCACTAGATTCTTAATCTAAAAATGTTTTTTGTCCTGACATGTAATGCTTTACATTTTATTTTTTAATTTCCAATCGGTGAGTTTTATCAAAAAAACACAAGAGGTAAAAAAGTTTCTAAACAAACTAAACTATCCAAATTAAAGCATTTGCATGTGCTTGATAAGATTTTTCTTCAAATTTCGTTAACAAGAATTATAGGGGTAGTTTATTTCAACCCCTTCCACTCATTTTAAAAAAGTAAAAAAATTACCTGAAAGTGTGTTTTCATAACAGTAATGCTTCCATAAAATTTCATTAGTCTATCTCTTTTCGTTTCCAAGATAAAAAATAAAAACATTATTTTTCCGCCATCTTTGTACCGCGATATCTCCCTAATGGTTGACTTTTGACCCAACGTTTATAAAGCAAACTACCCTTTATTTTGAACAAGGAATCACCCCCTAATGTTTTTCGCATTTGTTTTGAAACACCCTGTATAGATGTTAATTGAAATTGAAGAATAATTATCGAATTCAATAAGAAAACGCTAAAAAGTTGGAGTGGACTGTTTATTTACCTATGAAACGTAACTCCTAGCTCTTTCTTATCGCTGCTGCTTTTACACTTGAAAGCTGAACAACTAATCACCATTGTAATAAAGTTTATACAAAGTTTACTACACACAAACTATTAAAAATCGCTAAAATTGTCGCTGGTGACCAAATGATGACTAATTGTTTGCCATCAAAAGAATGACCTCTAAGGTCACAAATTCTGCTGCAGCCTTATATGGGCGTTACATGTCCTTATATTTTTTAGTCATTGGGCGAAATATTCGGCCATAGAGTTTTTGACGCTATAATACATTTTTTCTTTCAGAAATCTTACTTCTCTAACATGTTGGCGCCAAAAGAGACCTTCATCCCCAAAAGGCTTCTATAGCAGCGACTTCAGCTCTAGGAGATCTGAAATTCCATATGCTACGTATCCAGGTACGCTGATGATAACATAATATGTTTTAGTAGGTACCTACTTAAATTCTAATTAAGAGGCAATTTTGTAACACTGTACATGAGTAAACAATTATGATCAACAACAGCGAAATCGTTTCACTTGAGAATTGACCACCATTTCACAGCTTTTTATGAAATAAATTTGAAAAAAGTTGGAAATATTGGCCGAAGGAAATATAGGTATATTATATTTCCTAAATCTGCCTACAGCTTAGCCCGATCCTGTCATGTTAAGCCACATCCAAAATTCCAAACACACGTGCTTTGATTAAAGCTTGATTAAGATTTGCAGAGCTTCAGCATTTGCCATAAAATAGCGAGCAATTTGTTACAAAACCATATAAATTATATATCACTGTAATCACAAAACATCAATCTATTTCCGTATTGTAACGGAATTTTAAATTATGTCTTTATTTTCGAGAAAATTTAGTCCAAACATAAGGAATATTTTGTGCTGTTTGATCATCAAAATCTTAAAAATAAAGAAAATGTCTAAAAATGTGCTACAATACCGACATAGTATAATCCTTTATCTTTAATTTCCTTCTTCATTTGGTGGTAAAAATACCTAGCCAGTTTTAGATAAAACTTTAAATGCCGAACGCTTCTTTTGCTACTTTTTCAGACTAATGAAACACACTCTTAAGAAAAAAAATGTTACCTAAACTAATATTTTTATTTTTCTCTTTCAGAATTCGGCAAGATTCCCAGCAGGGAGGAACTCACCTCCCAACTGCAAACCTTCCTGCGAGCCTCCGATGTGCGACGATCGACTCAGACGTCCAAAGTTAATTTGGACAAGCTGATAAACGACCTGGTCGAGCAACTGAAAGACATGGAGGTCGAGTACGACGACGGCAAGTCGCCTAGGTCCGAAATGGAAAAGGCTGGACAACAAATTCAAACGGTAAGATACGAAGATAATATATCTAAGCTATTTGATAATGCTCATTTCTGTTAGACAGTTGCTTGATAACATGATATACTAGGGTCGGCATTTCAGGTCTTGGGTGCCGATTTTCGTGTGTACGAAAAGTACGGTCAACGCGCTTAGTAAAATAAGATGTACTGAAGATAGAAGGCAAGTATTCTCCCAAGCGCATGGAATCTAACGTCAGATTAAGTGATTATGTAATAAATACTTCGTATTTTAGCTCTCTCCGACCTACTGATTGCCATAGCGATTCACTCCTATACATGTAGAATGTAGAATGTTTAGGAGGGGAGTTAATCACCGCGACCTTACAGATCTATTGTGTGTTCCCCTTTCTTGAGTTATAACGAGTTATAACTCATCATACGGTCCAGCTTTAACAAAAGCCAGTATCTGAGACGGCTCCACAGGGGCCAGCTCTCCATCCTCGATATCAGCCGTACCAAAGTTCATGACACGAATGGTCGTCGTCTCGGCGCACTCAGTGATAAGGTGTTCTGGTGTTTCCCCATTTTCCCCGCAAAATCTGCACTCGCCGTTGTTTCTCAGCTTCAGCCTACTAAGGTGTTCGTTCTACTACCCATATAACACACAATATCCGCAGGATATTCATAGAATGTCGGAATGTCCCATTATAAGATCATCTTATAAAGACTCTATAGGATATCCTGTAGATGTCTCAGAATAGAATATCCTATGGATATCTCTGTCGTATATCTAATGTACATCCAGCTGAGATATCCGAACATGCTCATGATAATAAAATATCCTAACAATATCGTCTAGATATTTAGGAAAAATAAATAATGTACTACTTTTTATATTACATAAAATGCAATAAACCATACAGATAGATATATATTACGTCAAGGCAACAAAATATCCTGTTGGTATCTTCTGGATAACCTGGATATTTATGAGTTTGGCCACTCCCAGTAATACAGAGAATTTAAAACGCCCGCGCAAAAAATTTCCCACAATCCATCTCGACAGTTGTTTGTTTGGTTTGGTTTGGTTTGGAAATTCGAGGTGAATTCGGTCGTTTGTCGATATTGGATGGGCTTAAAAATTACTGAAACTAACACGGTGGTTGAGTTTGACTTAGTTTTTTCTTATGCTTATAGTTCTAGCCTTGTTCTAGCAGAAATTCTATCCTAACCTCAATTAATGTCGAAAAACGACGAACGACTCAGGATCTCACAATGAAAAATTTGTCACAAAATTATAGGTAGGTGAAAATTTGTTGAAAAGCGCTTGTTCTTTATCCCTAAACCCATTTTCGTGTTTGATCTATTCAAACAGAAATCCTATTTTTGTGTTTAAATTGTGAGTTTCTGGAATGTGTGGTGTTAGAAATTATACCTGTATCCTGTGTGCTAACTTTGATATAAACTGTTGCTGCTAGACATAAACTGCTAGACTCCATAAAGGATAGTATAATCTGGTATAATACCATACCATCGAAAAAAACGGCATAAGAGGTGGCTTGGAAATGAAGATTGCTGTTATTTTGTATGTAAAATTATATGGGGAATGTCATCGATCGTTATTTTTCAAGCCAATTGAACGTCGTTTTTTTTTTCGATGGTACAGTATAAATTGAAAGGTCTTAACTCATACAAATAGACTTCTAAATTTTGACGCAAAATTCATTGACATAATATGTAGGTATATTTTAGAGCTGTTAATAAAAATATCCAATGAATAACGTCAAAATGTGTTTTTACTATAAACTAAGAATGAAGTAAGTATTGTCAAATAACAGTCCTCATATAATGTCCTAAAAATATTCTATAATGGTCCCAACATCATCCTTGTATTATTCTATAAATATCCCAAATAATCGTAAAAGGCTTGCCTAGGGATGTCTTGAAGATGACTTTTTTTGTCCCATCTGGATATCCCATAAATATCCTCCTCTAGTTTTTGGATATCCCTAAGATATTTACTATATCCTTGGTGGATATCCCCAAGATATCTATAGGACTGTGTTGTGTTATATGGGTATACATATAAACGCCGACCCAAGGTTTCGCTTGCCAGCAGGGTATACACCTGGGCATACGAGGGTTTGGGCCTTAAGCTGAACATCGATAAAACTAAAATCATGTGCACTCCCCCGGAAAATCATAACAGTGCTATAAAAATCGGAGAACTACTGGAATATGTAGCGGAATTCAATTACCTCGGCATCGGCAGTTTGATTTCGGAAAAGGCCAATGTCGACTCTGAAATTCAGCACAGAATTAGCGGCGCCTCAAGAGCATTCTGGAAATTAAAAGACAGGGTTTTCTACAATCATGACTTGAGCGCAAAAACAAAACTTGCAGTGTACCGAGCAATAATAATCCCCATCATGTTATACGGAAGCGAAACCTGGGTGCCGTACCGCCGGCACACGAGCGCATTAAACAAGTTGCAACAGGGACACCTTAGCCAACTCTTAATAATCAAATGGTACCATCATGTCTCAAACGTATCAGTCCTTGAAAAAGCTAGATGCAAGAGCGCTGAAGTCATGATTACTAAATCCCGCTTAAGATGGGCTGGCCACGTATGCAGGATCCTAAAGAACCACCTACCGAAGTCTCTTCTTTACGGTGAGCTTGTAGAGGGTAAGAGGAAACCGGGTGGACAACTAAAAAGGTATAGTAAACGCCACGAATGTTTGGGAGTGATTCATCGCTTGATGAAGTCAGAATCGATACGCGCGCTTCATTTTTACGTTAAAAACGTAAATTTTTACCGCAGACGTAGGTTTTTAAATACCCGGTCTAATCATCTGCCTGCACTCCTCCTTATTCTAAAATGTTAGCGTGATTGACAAAGACGATACTATACCGCGTTTCTTTGTTGATTCGTTTTTGTGCGTCAGTCCATTGGTGTGCTTGCAGTGCGACCAATGGGGCATTCCATTTTATATTTATAACCAAATATATGTTTTGGCAAGACTTTGACAGTTAATACAACAAATTACAACAGATTATATATTGATTATTATATGACTTGAAACACCACCGCACTGAAATTAAGTTTTATGTCAGTTTTTAAGTTATCAGTGTGTCATGTGCTCGGGAAAAAAATCCTCGCCGTTAAGTGTCTGTTGCGGTGTACCACAGGGCTCTGTTTTGGGGCCTATTTTATTCTTATTGTATATTAACGATTTGACAGAACTGCACATCTCTGGACATTTCACACTCTTTGCAGATGACACTTCAATACTATGGCAGGCCAAGGACATTGAGCATCTTAAGGGAATCATAAGCAAGGACTTATCCTTCATTAAAGAGTGGTTTAACTCAAATCACCTTTGTTTAAATTTATCCAAGACGCATGTTGTTGGGCTTAGATGTGACATCGCAAATCTACATTTCGAGGGGGGTTTGCTTGCAGGAATTCCTGCGACTAGATTCCTAGGAATTATTATTGATAGAAATCTGCGATTTGAAGACGATATTCTGGCCTTAAGTGGCAAGTTGTCTTCTGGATGCTTTGCTGTTAGGGCAATTAGGGAAGAACTGGGTTCACAAGTGGCAAGGACGGTCTATTTTAGTTTGTTTGAGTCTCATCTACGGTATGAAATACCATTCTGGGGTGTAGCTAATCAGGGTCTACTAAACATTCTTTTTATTTTACAAAAAAAGGCCGTACGATTTATTGTAAATGTACCACTTAACGAATCCTGTAGACAACACTTCAAAGCTCAAAAAATTCTTACACTACCATCTCTTTTTATTCTGGAAACATCATCCCTTATTTTTAAAAATCGTATCAGACTACAGGGTCCTATACCCAATATTGTTACCCGCCAAACCCTGAATCTGCCCTTACCACTTCCAAATAGCACATTGGTCAAAAGATCTATAATATATGAGGGCCGAAAGATCTTTAATCATCTGCCGGTTGCTTTAAGATTGGTTAATTCCATAAAAACCTTCCGGAGACTACTGAAAAGGGAACTTATAAATAGGGCATTTTACAGCGTTGACGAATTCTACCGGGGCTCCCTTGATATTAGTGTTTAGAGTCTAGAATTGCTTGGTAGTCTGACTTATTCTAAGAGTAAGCTCAGTTCAAACAACCAAAAAGTAAAGAGGCAACAAAGTAATGAGATTTTTGAATGTCCGGAGTGCGGAAGAGAGATTACATCACGTATCGGGCTTTTCAGTCACAGAAAAGCTCATGAAAGAAAACACCTTTGAGTTTCTTCTGATGCGTGTCAAATATTCATCAGCGAGTAATGGCAGTAAGTAACATGATATAAAATACCTGCAATCACTCTTTACGAACCATAGAAATAGAAGATTCGTAGGTTTGTTCAGATATATTTAGTAGTTTCGCCAACGACTACGACACAACGTAGTTCCAAGACCGAGATTTAATAAGAATCTGTTACAGCTGTAGTAAAATGAGTAACTAATTGTAGAAAATAAAGATCCAACCCTAGACAACATTTTTCGTAAACGCTTAATTGGGCGGTTTAAAATTTTGACGCAAAATCCGGCAATACCGCATAGAAAAAATGTTTTAACCCAAATGTTTATCTCTTTTTAATACATTTGATCTTTCATTAAGCTGTCTCCATCACTGTCTTACACATTAAAACACAGACCACGTTTCTGGATACTTGTTTAATATATTTATTATTTTTTACAGATTGTGGACATTCATAAAAAACTGCTCCGACTACGCTCAGTAAACGACTGCATGTAAAACAGGACAAGGAAAGAAGAAAATATACACATCATACTCGAGTCATTTTATAATCTTTATTAAACATAAACGTTATATTAAATATATACCACTTAATATAAAACAATTTACAGGTTTTAACAGGCAAATTTAAAAAAAACGAAAAAAATATATTTTTCTTCTACAAAGATAAAATTATAATAAAAAGTAATTTTGTTTTATATAAACGCATTTAAAATTATGATAAAATAGTAATAATTAAAATACATAGTAAAAGTTTTTGTTCCTGTCAAATGTCTATGAATAATTGGTTTTGTGCGAAAGTGACATGCGTTAGAGAAAAATATATTTTTTATAACGCTAGAGGGTATACAGGGTGTCTCTGGTTAACTAATATATCTACTAACTCCAAACTCAGCCTGAGACAACCAGTATAGTATATATAGGTAGTGTGTTGCCAAGATACGTTAGAAATTATTTTAAAAAAACTTTGACATTTTCCTTAATAATCTCCAAAAAAAAACTGTCCAAAAAATTAAAAAGTCACATTATAGATTGCTTAATTTTATTACATACTTAGTTCGCAAAAATACTTTAATTATTTTTTCGAAATCGGTGATACAACGTTTTTCCTTATAGGAATAATTATATTTCCTTATAAATTAATATTATTCTTAAAATTAAAAAAGTATATTATTATATTATATTATAATCTATACATATAACAGTAAAAAGGAAACAAAAGAAGAATTACGTTATCTACCGCTTGATTTTTTTTCTCAATTGTCAGTCAGTAAAGTCGATTTCGCTTATCTATGGGTATACAGGGTGAGCAAGTTCAACTATATTTAATGTAAATTCAATATCAAATTGTTTTTGTTTAACAAGTAAATAAAGCAGATATAAAAAATACAAAGAGAATTTTTGTAAAGTTATAGATTAATATCTGCTCTAAAATAACTTGATCACCCTGTATATAGGGAAGACTAGATCAAGCATACACAAAGAGTAAAACAATGAAATTTCACATTTTAATATGCCAATCTCTCAAAAATAAAAGCACCAAACTCATATAAAATAATACTACTTTTATGTTTTTGTTTTCTTTTACATTTCAACCCATTAGAAATTTTCATAGTTGAGTTTAGGAGAACCATTTCAAAGAAAACAAATAAAAATTAACAAAACTAAAAACTTTGTGCAAACTAAGATCATCAGTCTCCCCCATGTGTTGCTTGTGAAAATATACATTAAGTATGTATGATTTAAAAAGTTCTGCCCATCACAATTTTGCCCTTGATCGCTTCATGCGTATTCTCCACGAATCCCAGTTTTCCGTAAAACGCATGCGTATAGCTGTCTTGAGCGTTCATGACAACATGAACACCAAAAGTACCTTAAAAGGGGAAAAAAGCTTAAAAATCAAATAATGTGTAAAGTGAAATTGGTTGATAGATTTAAAAATATTTTTATTCAATGATTTAAAAATATTTTTATTCAATGATTTAAAGATATTTCTTTAAGAATTGTTGGACGCGTACCGGATGACTAACTAAGAACGGTTTATTTTTAATGCGAACGAGCAATATATGTTATGATGTCATACAGCGCCGTCTACCTACTACGGCAAAACACATGTAAACAAAGCTTATACTGCAGCTTATTAAGGAAGAAATGCCCTTTTAAACCAACCCTAGTTTATTTAATTGCGTTAATCCAAACCAGAGTAATTCATATTTTAATAAAAGCAGAACAAAATACGCTGAGTGAAGTTACCATTTTTTTATTGATTCCAATAGCAATACTTAAAATACCTCTTGACGTGCATATTTCTTGAAAAAAAATCATTTTCTGATTGGCCATTACAGATGCGCCTACTAGCGGATTTTTCGAACTTGAAAATAATTTTCGGCGATTTTTCTTAGCCGATTTAAGCTTCATATTCATGTGTCCGTTATCCGTTGATACGATGCCGATGGTCTGACGGCGCTCTGATTGGTCATAGCGTTTTCGCGCCACTTTTCATCCGAATTTTTTTTTACTCCAGTCCGTCAACGGAAAAAGATCGTACGATAACGGACGTTTTGACACTTTTTTGACAAGTTTAATCCAACCTTAATAAAAATATAATAGTACAAGAGCTAGCTGGTTCTTTAATATGTCTTTTTCTATGCTCTCCTGACCAAAGTGCGGGCTGTTTGGCTACCGGTAGACTACTGCGCATCACATCTGTACAGTGCATCCCATTTTGTGTGTTTTATGGGATTTCTCGTTTATGAGTAGAGATACAATGATGCGATTTTCACATTACTTTGCTATTTTTTTATGAAACTAAATACGCTACACATATGTTTGTCCTAGCCTCCTTAGTTCCTGAAATACAGGGCGAATTTATGATGCGCAGTATTGAAAAGATGTTGAATACAGATATGATGCGCAGTAGTGGACGCAACGTCTACCGGCAGCCAGACGGTCCGCACCCCGTTCAGGAGAGCAAAGCAAAATAAATATTAAAGAACCAGCTTTCTTAAAATTCTCACTCGGAAACGTTGCTAGCTCTTAGAGTACAAGCATAGATTATACAGATTATAATCTTTGTTTTTTCTTTATTGTTTTTCGTGGTTCCAATTTTCGGAATCGGGCACTACTTAGGTGACTAGTTTGCGCACATAGCACGCCCACTTATGGCCTCTATAATTGTGCACAGCGCCTGACCGGCACAGTTATTAGAGAGATATCGGAAAACCGAATAGCGTCATCCAGTATTTACGCGTACCTTATCATGGTTACGATATGCGCGAGTCAACGCAACACCCGCTAATAACGTTACCGCCTGACGTAATTTGCGGATAAATTACACCAAGCGCTCTTTCTAAATAACCTCTGATAACGTTTAAAAATTGCTTAAATGGGCATGTGCGGGTATTTCACAACCGGAGCCGGCCGGCGAGATCTTTTATTTTACGTTATGTTTGAATTGTTTTGAATTACTGCTTTAGTTTTATTAGGTAATTTGATATTTAAGTAGCTGGGATTAGTTTTAATTAAATAAATATGGCTCAAAATATGGATTCCACCTCTTCCAATACTAAAGAACCTATAAAGAGTCTTAGGTTTACAGCAGATGACGACTTAGCCCTTCTAAGAGAATTTGTTGCTTGTTGTCCTAAGCCCATTGGCAGACGTTGAACAATAAAGCACTGGAAATAAGCACTTTAGCCCTTTAGTTTTAAAATACCTAGTAAACAAAACAAAGTTTTAAATTCAAAGTTAGGTTAAGTTTAAATAGCGGACGCAACGCGAATTCTTTCCGATCCGATAACTATAAATGAAGAGAGTTAATACCACCTCACGTAAAGGAAATAACACCTGGTCTTATTAACGTCCATGCACGCTATTCGGTTTAGCGATATCTCTCGATTACGCTGTTTATTGTTATTTTACGCGAGTTTATTTTTGCGCACAGGAAATTTGACTCGTTTGCACATCGTCATAAAAACAATTTTCGTACCACGAATTAGGGACAAGATTTTTATCTGTATACTTATCGTTTTGGAAATGAAAATATAAAATGACACCAATCAAAAGCAAATCGTATATCCGACGAACGGAGGCATGAAAATGCAATAAATTTAAAAACTGCTTAGTTTTCTAACCAACCGAAGTCTTTAAATTCAACCAATAAAATTAATATCGTATCATCGTATCGTCGGACATCGGATGTATGAAAATCAAGCTTTGCTATTCTAATTTTTCCCCAAAATTATACGATTCTTAGTTGGCCACGCGGTACATAAATACGTTTAGAAATAATTTGAATATCTTTAGAAAAAATTAATAAACATACAACCTCTGTATTAATACTTAGGATTTCAACTACATAAATCAAAAAAAAAACTTACCATTTGCTCTTAACGCTGCCAGAAGACACGTCACCAGTCTTTTGCTGACTGATTGGTCCAAAACCGAAGGTAAAATGCTACAGATCATGCTAGATGGGTGAGTAGGACTACTAACGTAAACTTCGTCTTTGAAGTTGTGAAAATGTGATATGCATTCCTAAGAAAAAAAAAGAGAAATAAATAGCCTTACTACACAAAATATATCACTTATTTATTTTTAAAACATTTGGCTCCAAGAATTTTTAGACGAATTTTTTAATTCTTTTATTCATTTCAGAGGAATCACCTACAATTATTAAAAATTATTTCGCAGATTTTTATAGAATTAGTTGAGAGAATAGACTTTAATTTAAGATTTAAAATTTGGAAAACAAATGTATTTACGTACTTGTACAAGTTTGGTAGCATCTTTAGCTAAGTATTCTGGATATTTCTGGCACATTTCTGGAATCCAGGCTATTTCCTGTTTCACTCTGAATTTTTTGTAATCGGGAGCTGCCGCTGCATAACCAACTACGCCAAGATCATCCTGCAACAAAATTGTTTAAGAAACAATTTTATGGGCTGTCCCATAGTCTGTCATGTTCTTGTGTGCTGTTTGTTTGTCATTGCCAGATGAAGAGCTTTTTTTGTACTACAACTTCTCTAATTTTTTAATAATACAGCTTAAAATAATGAATGGAACTACAACTGGGGACCATGTAGTTTGGGGATAGGGACCGTGTCGTAGCAAAAAAACAATGGTACCTACTATTGGTAGGTGTACTATTTTTATGATTTTTATCCATTTTTCAAGTATACTAGTATTTCGGTAAGTTTCTTGCAGTTTTTCTTTGTTTGCCAGAATTCGAAAAAATGGATAAAATGCATCTAGAAATTTTAGCATATTTCTGGATCCTTTTACTCCTTACTACGTAATTCTAAGTCAACAAAATGGTATTTTCTGCCATTTTTTTGTATGTCGTCTGTCCAAATCTTACCTGATTAGTTGGACAGACTTTATAAATAAACGGTATACACCAATAACGTAGAAACAACTATTTCTACGTCATTGGTATACACAAAAAAAGCATTAACTAATCAAGTTCAAAACTTAAACAAAGTAAAAACAAAAAAATATTACATGATATATTGACATTTAAATGTTATAAAAAGTATACTTGTTTTCACATAAAACTTCCCAATATGGCCGACTTCAGTATGGGAGGCTTAAAAAACGAAAATCTCTAGACTGGAATCGACTGTAGTTCAAATCGTTCATACTGATAATCTGTGGTAAATCTAATTGAACTCTCACACTTGGCTGACTGACGTTTACGGTTCCTTTTTCTAAATATTTTCATTATTTTTTGAGTTTTTATTCACAAATTCTACTTGATTTTGTTCTTTTACTTAACGTGCAGCCTGCAGTACTAATTATATACTTATAAATAATCTTTTCACCGATCAAGAACTGAGGAATAGGCTGGAAGATATTCATAAAATGCTTAAAAACGTATTAGAAAACATTGACTCGTCCACAAATTCGTGAAAACAAATTAGTCCAGATGTTTGTAAAAAGGTTTCTAATTATTTTGAGAAGTTTCCTTGTATCAGTAATTTTCAGGTTTGTAATATGTATATGATAAATAGATTAAAACTTATATTAATTTCAAGAAACAGCGCGGGCATTACAGACTGTTGTAAATTAGTTTTAAAATATAAAGAATGTTTAAAACAGGTTTAAAAGTTGAGTTAGTAGAGAAGACCTAAATAAGGTATTGTTGGTAATGGGATCAAAGATCAAATAACACTTGAAATATATAATATGTACAATTGTAAGTAGTTTTTATGAATCTGTTTGATATCTATTGCATTGTATTTATATTTCTTGAAATATATATATTTTTTACTTTACAGGATACACAAACAATAATAAAAAATACAGTTACTTACTAAAAGCACTTAAGGTTTGTAATAGATGTAGTTAGAATATCAAACACCAAACCAAACCAAAAATTATGTTTTATTTTACTGGTATTCCTCACATTTGAAAGGAAAGTCATTTCATAAATAAGCAGAAGGACATCGTATAGTACACTCTATATTAATAATTCTTTTTTATCCTATACTTGGTAGTTGACGCATCACTAGGTATAAAATTTAGTACTGATTCCAGACCTACAGTTGTGGTTGTGACATATTCTGATGTGTTTCTGGCAATTTAAAATAAGTTAATATTTAAACAAACATTTCTGGCTTTCCTGACAGGAGTTTGAATACAAATTTAATAAAGGTATAATGTGGATAATGTTCTGATTATTACAGTTTGCATGAATGACTGTTTTTGTATGTTGTTATTTTTAATAAAGTATATTTAATGAGTTATTGAGTATTTCTTTTTCCCTCAGAGGATTGTGTTCTAATCTTTATATGTAAATTTTCATAAATTATATCTACAAAATTTATTACCTTATAACTTTTTGCTAAAGACTTTGTAGTTGATACAGTTTAACAGTATATAAAAGAACTATTTAAATAAGATGTTTGAAAATATATACCTGTTTTTGCACACATCAATTCAATTTGTGATTAACTGTACTGAAATAAAAACAAATTAAGAGAAATGGGGTGATCTTTCAACTATAGCATAAAACGCATCATCCTATTTCCAAGTCTTCTATTAATTTCACTTATTAAACAACTATTTTTATTCAATAATCTTGATAATTCTAGGAACTCTCAGATATCGTAAAAACATGAAAACAAAAATTCACTTCCTATAGTTCTGACGTCCCTTTAACTGAAATATAAGAAACAGGGGAGTTAATATTCTGACTGAGAAAGTTTATAAAATACCTTTAAGTAAAATATCTTCGGATCTGCGGTAAAATACCTTTATTCTTATTAAATAATTTCAATAATCTATGTTTTTATTTGATTTATGACAACCACCTAATAAACTAACTTTTACGTCAACTTGACAATCCTGAAAAATGTTATCGTTAACCAAAGAGCAAAGAGTAAATCAATTTCTGAATTCGCTAACGCCAACTTATTTTTCATTAAAAAAAATTACCAATTTTCGTAACTAGGTCGGCGATATTGAGGAACTTTAAAAAGAATTGTACTATATATTCATATAAATATTTTTATAATTTTTATATATTTTATAATAGATACTGAATGGCCAGTGAAGGCAAAGAGCACACCATATAAAAAATCACTTATTTTAAGTAAACAAGCCTTACCTCTACAACAAAACAAAACTCCGGGTGTAGAGTCAAGTACGGTCCGACTATTCTGTCTGCGTAGATACTCTTCAGCTCGTCGGGTAGAGGATGTAGCTCTTCCAGACCGTCCTTGCATGTCCTCGTGGAAACATTGTAGACCTGCTCCTCATCGGTGGGTAGATATGGCCTAATAGTGTAGACTCTGCACGTTGGCACGTCTGGGACTTTGTAGACAAAGAGATCGTTGCCAGAATCTACAGGTATCAACCTCTAAAATTCCAGAGACAAGGAATATATTATTTAAAAATCATATTTTGGATACTGGTGTAGGTCTGTAGAGTTGCGTCCAGACTTGAATTATTATCTTGCGATGTGTCAATGTGAAAAAATCAATGCGGAGTGTTATCGTCCGATGGGATTGATAGAAGAAGTCATGTACAGGGTGGGTCAAATTCGACGCTTTTAAATGAAAACAACCTTTTCTATAGGAGATAGACAAAACTAATATCGGTGTCTGGAGCTCAATTTTTGTCAAAAACATGATGGTGAAAACCGCATATCGATATCTGTTACCGTTTCGGAGTTACGGGGTGTTTTTCAAAAATATGCATTTTTAACAAATCGCTGTAACTTTTTTGCTATGGAATTTTTTTTATTTTTATGAAAACATTTCCAAAGCACTTTTTTACGTAGAATTTAATGGTTTAAGAATAATTTTTTTAAAATTAATGATTTGAGAATTATCAACAGAAAATTTGATTTTTTATATGAGACACCCTGTATATTTTTAATTTATTGAAAGGAATTTAAAATTACCTTTCCAAAAATATAACACACTTGATATTTTGCTCGATTCCTCTTCGATATATAGAGTATATAAAAATTCGCCCGCTTTAAATAAGTAGGCTTTGAACGGCATCGGCTGTAATGCAAAAAAAAATCTAGCTATGAGAGATGCAGAATTTTATAACAATTTAAAATATGTTTAACCAACATCAACACATTTAAACTATATCTAATAACAATAAAAATAAAGAGCAAACCAAGACATGAGATTTTGCTACAGGTGTTCGACATATCGACCGTCTTATATTATGGACAGACGGGGCAGTTTTTGAACATTTCTCGCGGAATTCATTAGCTCAGTGGGGGTGAAAAATACTCCCTCATAACTGCTAAGTATTTCTAATTCTTTTCTAGATTATACGGAAGAATAAGGAACCTTTATTCTTCCGCAAATATATCCATATGATTAGATCCATGGGCACTAAGTCAGGCGGCCTCGATGGCCAACGGCTGGGATCTTGGTTAGCTATTCAATTATTCTTGAAATTGGCTGCAAAATTTTGCTGATAACTTCAGCGTTCAGAGGCGGTGCGTCGTCTTGCTGAAAAAATATGTTTTCGAGTTCCATTAAGGGCATATCATCAATAAGGGGTCCAAAGCCTACTGTGGCAAACTTTTAAAAATTCTGTATTTCAAAGGGGATTATAAGAAAATATCAAGTGTGCTATATTTTTGGAAAGGTAATTTTAAATTATTTTCAGTTAATTAAAAATATAGAGGGTGTCCCAAATAAAAAATCAATCTTTCTGTTGATAACTCTTTTATTATTAATTTTAAAAAAATTATACTTAAACCATTAAATTCTACGTAAAAAGATGCTTTGGAGATGTTTTCACAGAAATACAAAATTTTCCATAGTAAAAAAGTTACAGCGATTTGTTAAAAATGCACAATTTTGAAAAACACCCCGTAACTTCGAAACGGTAAAAGATATTGATGTGCGGTTTACACCATCATGTTTTTGATGAAAATTGAGCTCCAGACCCGATATTAGTTTTCGTCTATCTCCTATAGACAAGGGTGTTTCCATTTAAAAGCGTCGAATTTGACCCACCCTGTACAGGGAGTATTTTATAAGGTTTCTCTTTAACGAGTAAAGATACAAAGATGCAATTTTCAGTACTGTGCTACTTTTTTATGAAACTAAAGATGCTACACAAAAAGTTGTCCTAGCCTTTTTTCAAAACAAAAGTGCGGATTTTTCAGAGGGTCACGCTGACGCCGGTTTTTTTTCTATAATATTGTATAAAAACTCTACGTTTTACCACTTGTGATGTATCACCTTAATATCTGAGACATTTTAACATTTTTTTTTTCTCTCTCTCTCTCTCATTGACACATTTCTAGCAATCAAATCTGGATGTAACAAAAATAATAAGTAATATAATAATAATAACCACTCTAAACACGAGTAGACTTGCTGCTATTAATCGAAATTACACAGAGCGCTACAAAAAATCGAAACCAAACTGTTTAAAAATCATTTGGCTAACCTGAAGATCGGCAGTGAGTCCGCCCCTGAATACCCACGGTTCCTGCTCGCCAGACATGAAAGTCTCTTTCCAGCCCTTGGAAAACCCTAAAAACAAAAGACGCACGCTGTAGGTATACGTCAAACTTGACACCACGCAGGCTGCGTCTACGCCTACTATGCCTAGATTTCTTTACGCCAAAGCTTTTAAATTATTACGCCAAAATGCTACAAGTTTCTATTTAACACAAAAATGCCTATTACTGCAAATAATTTTTCGCTTTATTAGAACTGTAATGAAGTAGATTTTAAAAGATAATTTTTATTCGATATGCAATAACTTGACTACATCCAATAAATGACAGAAAATAAAATCTACTTATTAAAAGAAACGACAGACAAGAACTGTCACTGTCAAACCATCTTTCGTTGGACAGACTATACCTTGTGTTACTTCCATAAAAAAAAATATAATTATCCATTAGATGTCTACTGACTAAACCATTATAAGAGTGTGCAGTCTTTTAATATTACGCACTACGCAGCAAAACTACGCCAATAATTAAGAATTGTTTGAAAACTACGCCACAATATAAACCAAAAGTAAATTGTCACAAGTTATATTAATTATCGATTTGCCTAACGACAATCTCATAACAGATAAAGTGATGACTACAGAATACAAGGACGCGTCATGGGCATATATGAGGGTGCAAAATCTGTGATGTAGGATGATGCGTCCTATCTGTGATAGGACGTCATTTTTTGGTGCCAAACAAAGGAGGTGACAGCAGGGACAATTTAAGCGATTTTTAATAGTTTGTTGCGCGTAGTAAACTTTGTATAAACTATATTACAATGGTGATATGTTCAGCTTTCAAGTGTAAAAGCCGCACCGAGAAGAAAGAGCAAGAAGAACCACCTTTCTGGTAAATGAACAAACAATCAATTATCTGCACTCCACGTTTCGAGGTTTTTTTTTGTTCATAATGTTTGCTGCCTGGTTGCATTTCATAATTATTTTTCTGATATACTACGATATGTATTATACCGGGTGTTGCATCGTCGAGCGGGACATAGGAAATCCCATGTAAATTTTAATGGGGTCAGTTATTGGCTTCCCTAATTATTTTAGAGAATAATTCTATTTAGGTTTATTGAAGAGCACTAAAACCCACATTCAAAAGAATAACTTTAGATATTTTTGATTAGCCCGTTTACGAGTTATCGCCGATTTCTTTTTAAATATTTCTCCTTTCTTATGGCCCTGTATTTACTTATGAGCACCAGTCAAGGTAAAAGATAACTGTCAAATGAAGTTGTCATTTCAGAAATTTATCTATTTAGTGCTTTATATGGGTGCTTTATTATTATTATTAAAAACTCATACCTACATCGAAAATATAAGCCATGAATTACACTACCGAAGAAAAAATATTGATGATTAAATGGTATTATCAAGGAAATAGTTATCAAAAGGTGTCGAAAATGTTTGCTGCTCTGTATCCGAATAGACCGATACCTGGAACATCTACAATCGCAAGGAATATCCGGAGATTTGAGACCAAAGGTACCCTAATAAATAACTGCAGATGTGAAGCAAGGCAGGAACAAAGAGAAGATGCAAGAAATGATACCGACTTGGGAGTTTTATTGTGCGTGGAAGAGAACGATGGAAAGATCAGCACAAGGAAACTTGAGGATGAAATAGGAATAGATCACACTACAGCGTTTCGAATTTTGAAACGACATAAATACTATTCCTTCAAATATGAAAAGCACCAAGAGCTAAGAGATGGGGACGAAATACGGCGGCAGGCGTTTTGTTTTGATATGATGGAAAGAGCAAATACGGATAGGGAATTTTTAAAAAAACATATTTTTCACTGACGAATGCACGTTAACCTTAAATAATGAACCCAATGTTCAAAATTATCGATATTGGAACAAAGAAAACCAACACAGGTTTGTCGAAACAAGGACGCAATATCCACAGAAAGTAAATGTTTGGGCAGGGATATTCGGACACAATATTATCGGGCCATTATTTCTTACGCGAAATTTAAATGCAGAATATTATTTGGAACTACTCGAAAATCATATTTTACCTGCTTTACATGATGCCGCTAGGGAAAATCAGGAAGTTTGGTACCAAATGGATGGCTGCCCGGCACATAGTACCCTGGCTGTTCGGGAATATTTAGACAATAGTTTTAACGGAAACGTTATTGGCCTAAATCATACAGTAAATTGGCCAGCAAGGTCTCCTGATATTTCGACAAATGATTTCTTTCTGTGGGGCCATTTAAAAAACAGGATATACAAGGCAAAAAAATACCCAAATCAGTTTACCAACTAGCGAATGTAAGAATTTTATCATCACCCGGGTTATTGTCTAGCAGTCGATGGAGGAATATTTGAACATCTTCTTAAACCCTAAAGTTCTAACAATTTAATAGTATACCTAAATTAATAAGTTATTGAATATTGTAATAATACTATAATTAACCTTGTAATTGATTACTTTATTTTACTTTAATTCATATTAATTTATATATACAGGGTGTTTCAAAACAAATGCGAAAAACTTTAGGGGGTGATTCCTTGTTCAAAATAAAGGGTAGTTTGCTTTATAAACGTTGGGTCAAAAGTCAACCATTAGGGAGATATCGCGGTACAAAGATGGCGGAAAAATAATGTTTTTATTTTTTATCTTGAAAACGAAAAGAGATAGACTAATGAAATTTTATGGAAGCATTACTGTTATGAAAACACACTTTCAGGTAATTTTTTTACTTTTTTAAAATGAGTGGAAGGGATTGAAATAAACTACCCCTATCATTCTTGTTTTGTTACCCCTATCATTCTTGTTTTGAACGAAATTTAAAGAAAAATCTTATCAAACACATGCAAATGCTTTAATTTGGATAGTTTAGTTTGTTTAGAAACTTTTTTACCTCTTGTGTTTTTTTGATAAAACTCACCGATTTGAAATTAAAAAATAAAATGTAAAGCATTACATGTCAGGACAGAAAACATTTTTAGATTAAGAATCTAGTGATAATAACGATAATAATAATCATCTAGATAATAACGTATTGCAGTAGAGTAATGTCAAATAAAATAATATTAGGAACATCTTAAAAAGTAACAGCGGCCGACTAGATTTTTTCCTAAAAAAATTACAGCAGCCCACTAGATTCTTTATCAGAAAAGGTTTTTTGTCCTGACATGTAATGCTTTACATTTTATTTTTTAATTTCAAATCGGTGAGTTTTATCAAAAAAATACAAGAGATAAAAAAGTTTTTAAACAAACTAAACTATCCAAATTAATTTTTTTGCATGTGTTTGATAAGATTTTTCTTTAAATTTCGTTAACAAGAATGAATGGGGTAGTTTATTTCAACACCTTCCACTCATTTTAAAAAAGTGAAAAAATTACCAGAAAGTGTGCTTTCACAACAGTAATGCTTCCATAAAATTTTATTAGTCTATCTCTTTTCGTTTTCAAGATAAAAAATAAAAACATTATTTTTCCGCCATCTTTGTACCGCAATATCTCCCTAGTGGTTGACTTTTGACCCAACGTTTATGAAGCAAACTACCCTTTATTTTGAACAAGGAATCACCCCCTGAAGTTTTTCGCATTTGTTTTGAAACACCCTGTATATAAACACATCTTTAAGATTTCCGATGTAGGAATGAGTTTTTAATAATAATAAAGCACTAAATAGGTAAATTTCTGAATTGACAACTTCATTTGACAGTTATCTTTACCTTGATTGGTGCTCATAAGTAAATACAGGGCCATAAGAAAGGAGAAATATTTAAAAAGAAATCGGCGATAACTCGTAAACGAGCTAATCAAAAATATCTAAAGTTATTCTTTTGAATGTGGGTTTTAGTGCTCTTCAATAAACCTAAATAGAATTATTCTCTAAAATAATTAGGGAAGCCAATAATTGACCCCATTAAAATTTACATGGGATTTCCTATGTCCCGTTTGACGATGCAACACATGCCGGTATATTGAGCATAATCTTTTTAACCTTGTGAGAATGTTTTAATAATTTTTTCTTTAAATAATTGGTATATAAACGACCTAAAAAAGGATCCACCGGCGTAGGTAAAACTTTAATCAAAAATATAAATAAATAAAGATTATTCATAACTAAATACCTAAATGTAATAATTCGTAACACTAAGTACTAAATTAAATTTTCCAATAACTCGCCAATTTAGTCAACACAATTTTGTAAGCTAAAAATTGAATAATCCATTTTATTGTAAAGGACACACATGTAAAAAATTAAATTTAAAATCATCAAATAATTAAAAATAAGAAAATTGCAATTTTTATTTGATTCTGCATTTTTTATATTAATGTCAAGTGGTTTCAACAATTTGGTTTCTGGTGTTATTGGTCCTTGTATTCTTTAGTTATTGAGATAAAGCAACCATCAGTCGCCATCTCACGGAAGACACTGCCAACAATCTTGGGTATATTTGCCTAGTACAACATAATACTTGTAAAAAAAACAAAACAAATGGCACATCACAGGTACCACAGAGCATACCACTGTAAGAAGATAAAAATATTTATCTTATAATGATATAACGTGCTTTATAGTAAAAGAAAATAATTGTGACAATTCACTTCTGGCAGATTTTCGGAAGCTAGAACGCAAAGCGCCATCTAGATGCTACAGGATCACAATCGGCGGCCTTATATACTAATTCTTGGAAGATGCGTACATGTGTAAGTTCCCTGGGTGTACGACGGCATCGACGACGGGTATTGGCCATTGGCTTTGGGAAATAAACAGGTACATTAATAAATTGAACATACAAATAATTATAAATTCAAAAAAAAATAGGCTGAAAAAAAATTTACGCAGACCTATAGATCATCTAATCTAATTAAGATTTATTGATTTTGTGATTTTATTATACAAAATGAATAAATATTATAATCACAAAATCAATAAATAAAATTTATATAATTCATAAACATATCTATGCAGGGGTGTCTTGCGAGGGGTGTCTCACTTGGGTAAAAAAATGTGACTGCCAATGACTGCGAAGAAGACTGCCTATGTCTGTCATAATTATAGTCCACTGCCGTAAGACTGATGCCAACGACTGCCAAGAAAATGTATTTGTAATTCCAACAGTGAGACACCCCTCGCAAATTATACAGAAGTGATGTTCAAAAATTGATTAAAAAATGAAGAACTTCATCATTAGTAAGTTAAATTAGTACTTAAACCAAGGCAAATACAGCACAACATATTTTTAGATAAAAAAATGCTATACATATAAACTGCATAGTATGTATAAGTATAAATATTTTACATACTTGAATAACTTTGTCCCTAGGAATAAATAAATAAATTAAAAACGGTTGACTTTATGACAGAGACAATAAGTAATATCAAAAAATGAGTTTTATCAAAAAATATATAAGTAATATCAAAAAAGAAAAATTTCATTATAAATTTAAACTTTAAAAGCCTAAATAACTTTAAAACAACTTAAGTTAGGGTCATCCTGTATACTTTTGGGAAGATATAAACTTTACTTTTTTTTCAATAAACGTATAACCAAGGACAAAATTAAACAATGACATAAATATATCTAATACAATTTAAAAATCGTATCCAGTTTTCCATAAAAAATATATGCATCATTCACTCAGTAGTATATCAAAATATTAATCAGTAATTAAAGTTTTATATATTTTTCTGTTAATTTAGTTTAAACTAAATTTTAGTCAAATATTTTATGAAATAGAAAAAAAAACTTTAAAAACCTAATCTTATTTTGAATAATGGATATTGTTCAATAACAAGTACATTTTAAAAAATTATAAAAAAACAAACAGTAAATTGAATCATTTCATTTTACTGAATCTAAAAATAAAATAAAACTACGCAAAGCAAACAAAAATATTGAGATCAAATATTTAAAAAGAAATAAGTTACACAAAGTTGCCATTTACGCTCCAAGAAAAATAACGCTAGTATAAATATATTAAAAGTGATAAATATATCAATACAACATTTGATAGATATGTGATAATAAATTATGTATATTTACGCAATATAGTATGACACAAATGCCCAATGAAATTATTCAAAAAATACACATTCAAAAATGCCTTGTTATCAATTTTACTGTATTTATAATATATTTGATATATAATATAATGACAAGTAAATATGTAAATATTGATTTATATTATATTATAAATACAACACCAATATCAAAAAATCCACCCAACATTCATACAATATATCACATTCAACCATTATGACTTACCAAGCCACTTAATATAGGAATTAAGCAATGATATCACGCCTCTTATATCCCAGATATAAGAGTATAGATCATACAGCATCTCCCTGTTGTTACAAGAAGAAATATGTTGAAACAATCTGTTCACAGCCAGTGTCATTTCGTGCATTTTATCCGCCCTGGAGAACCATTCTTGAGCCTAAAATAAAACATTTTTGATAATACTATTTGATTTTTTCTTAAAGACCCTATTCAGGCTATTACATAAGCCGAGTTCAAGCGAATAACCGTTGGTTGTTGGTTATGGTTGACAGATAAACAAAGCTTTAAACGTCAGTTGTCTAGCGATTGGTTGACAACTGACGTTTAAAGCATTGTTTATCTGTAGACCATAATCAACGGTTATTCGCTTGAATATAGCTATATATCTTTGAATAAGAAGACTAAGGAAGGAGCATATCAAAAATCTTAGGTACACCGCGATGGGCCTCAAATATGGCCGACTTAAATTCCGGTTTATCAGTGCCGTTATAATTTTATTTAAAAAATGTAAAACTATGATGTAGGGCAGACGTGGGGTAGACTCAATAATTTGTTGTTTTATTTTACGTTCTGAATAAATGTTGGTAGTTATTAAAATTGTTATAAAAATATATAATTCTAATAAAAATAGATAAGTTATAATAAGTATTTATTAACACAAACATCGGATACGCTACTGAAGCAGGTAAGTTAAATTAACGTATCAAAATTCTTTGACATCTGATCTTTGAAAAGTAGTACATAAAAGCTAAAATGCAAGAAAAATATATAATTTAGTTAATTTAAGTGAATTTCATAAATGATCGGTTTACTACACATATGTATATTATATAGTTATTTACTAGCGAAAAGTTGTTCGATTATTTCACTCAGTTTTTGCCGAGATCTACCGCACACTACACAACCAACTATTTTAGAGTCTTTTTCGATAAATCGCGATAGTGTCACTGTTAATTTAAGTTCTGCCACAATTTCCATCTAGATTTACTACCTTTATACAACTATCAGTAGTAGAATAAATAATAAATAACATAAAATAAGCTCCGTAAAGACTGACAAATCCACAAAATTTCAAATCAAATTCGAATGTGTCAAATAAATCGTCAAACAGAACTGTCAAGGATCCCCACCCTTGAGTGCTTTTTCCGCCCACCATGCATGAATACATGGATAGCATTATGCTCCTTCCTTAGTCTTCTTATTCAAAGCTATATATTAAAAAACCTAGCCAAATTGGTCCAACTATTGTAACATGATACGTTTATGAACAAAAACAAACAACACGACACAATATTTAATAACAAATTATAAAAATGCTTTACCTCTGGCCCAGACTTATCCTTCCTCTGATTGGCCGAAATCACGATATGCGCGTTCGATTTCAACCAATGAAATTCCTGTAACAACTGCAAGCCTTGAGAGCCGTGCTCAAAAGGTAAGTAAAATAGATCACAGAGTAACGCCAAGTCTTCAAAGGTTAGATCATTAGTTTTCCTAAAAAATGTAGCTTATAGAAAATAGTTGTTTAATTTATGCACAAAACAAACCTTTCAATATCACTCTGACTCTCCATTATCATCTGACTAGTATCATTGCTTTCTATTTGCATGGAACCACTAGAAGTCTAAAAAAAATCATAACTCATGTCACTAAATTCATTAAGTCAATTACTTGGAATATTACAAAAATATTGTGAAATAAAATGTGTATAGTCTAATTCATGAAAGATGACGATTGCTCCAGAATATTTTTGAATGAGACAACCTTCTACTTTATTATTTTAGGACTGGAAACTAAAAATCCATAAACCAAACAATAATAAAACATTTTTTTTCTTTGATTTTGTTCGCAGCTTTTTAAGCAGAATTTAAACGTCATCTTTCGGCAGACTATATGTATAAGAGAATATAAATTTACAGAATTTTCGCTCATGGCTACATCCTCATTGGATCCTTCAGCTGCCTTGACAACACCATGCGCGGGTGATATGTTTGGGGTGCTGTTGCAGTCCATTGGTTCAGAAGGGCTCAGACTTGACTCATTACTTATGGTTGGATCGGTGTTCATTATACTTTCTTCCTTAATACTGTCTTTCCGATCTCCTGTTACTGTATCAGTTGATACTGCTTGGGTATCGTCACCTTTAGCTGGAAAAATTATGGAGATGCAGGCAAGGTCATAAATGTTTGATACCAATTAAACTTTTAGTTATGTAATCGAGGGCGCGATTTTTAAATTCATTGTTGCCAATCGTGGACATATTCGGCTACAAGATAGTTTAATAGCCTTAAAAAACTCATCGCAACTTTATTAGAATGTCTTGAACGGGAAAGCGGTAGTAATGGTCTTTGATGTCCCTTAAGTGTTGTTAAGGAGGTGAGTTTTATTGATGTAATGGTAATTATTAGGAAAACTGTGGAAATCGTCCGATTTTCACCAAAATTGGTATACACCCTATTATTCTTATTATTTTTTCTGGCGGTCTCTTACCGTTTTTCAGAAAATCGAAAAATTATTGCAACATCGAATTTTTCTTAGTTTCTCATATTTTTAAGGTTTTCTATAGTCTATAAAATAAATAACTTTGAATTTTGACCGTTATTTTTTACCAACATGGCAAATATAAAATCCCTCTGTCAAAAAAGTTACTGATATTCTTTAAATTGAGTGCCTGAACGAATCAGATAGGTAACTCTTTTTACTTTCGTGAAATAGAAAAGGAAAATAGTAAAACAAGTGACAGTTCTTCCTCTTCTTGCAAAAATCAACACGAAATGACATAATTGTCAAAAGTAAAATGTTATCAGCTTTTGACATTTCTAAATATCAGACCAATGCCGTCTCTAATAGAACAGCCTCGGAGCGACATTTATGACGTCACGCTACTTAGATACTACGGATTAATAAATATGTTGTAGAATACATGGAAAACAATTATTCCTCGTATTTTTGGTTTGTATTTTAAAAACGATATAGTTTACATGAAATATACATAATATATACAGTTAATAAATATAATATAAAAGGAACTAAAACAACTTTCGTTGCACGTCATCAATGACACCATGCGTCGTTAAATACTCTGGCAAATAAACTATACAAATGCAGCAAATGTTTTACAATATACAAATAATGAATAGGTACATAAGATAATGGGTAAAATGTAAAATATATTTTAAATTTGGGGGTATGAAAATCGATCTAATTTAACAAAAAACATTCAATATCTACTAATAGTGATGTATTATTATTTACATTCACAAAATTTATATGCATATTTTGCAAGTATCAATGTTCGAAAAATTATATTTGCAAATAATACAATATCATAGAAAAAAAGGCGTCAGCGATGGCTATGAAATAAAGATCGCTCTCATTTTATATGTAAAATTATTCTAAAATTTTTGATTTTCTTGGGATTTAGGTTCGGGAAAAACGCTGATTAAGTTTTCAATTCGGTTTTCATTCTTTTTCATTTGGTTTCGGCTAACATTATAGCCTTCATCAGTGTTGTGTCATATGAAAAAAATAGTGTCGAATATAATCCAAAAAATTACATATAAAATATACTAAATATATATGTTACTGTAAATGTCCGAAATGCGGTAAAACCTAGGATTTACCAAAAGCAAGTAATAGTAAAAACCAACCAACCCCACCAAATCACCACCTAACCAATGCATTAACACCCCCCAAATAATCAGGCTAACCAACGCATTAAGACCCTCCAAATAACCAGGCTAACTAATGCATTAACATTAACACCCTCCAAATAACCAGGCTAACCTAATTAGTAAATGATTTTGGTAAATCCTAGGTTTAGCGCGCTTATCCTAGGTTTTTTGTCGCATTTCGGACACTTACAGTAACATATTTATATTTATTAATTAATACATATTTATTAATCCGAAGTATCTAACTAGCGTGACGTCATAAATCTCGCTCTGAGGCTGTTCTATTAGAGACGGCATTGCGTCAGCATGGCCGCAAGTTGCTACCCTAATAAAATTAACACTAGAAAAGCCCGCGGGAACTGTCAAATTCAAAGTTATTCGTTTCACAGACTATAGCACATATTTTGTTAGGTATTCAATAAACAATGATGTTTTTGCTAAAAACGCCATTCCCAAACCAAACTTCCAGGGATTTTAAATAAATTACCTATTCATTTTATTATTGAGATCTGACAATAGTTAAATATACCCTTAATATACCTACCTATATCCACAAAGTTACGCGGAAGAGTTTTGATTGCATTGGTTTCAACTTCTATGCGGAGGGTGTTAATCTTTTGTCGTTATATTATACCAAAAAAAGATTAACCCCCTCAGCAAAAAAGTTGAAACCAATGCAATCAAAATTCTTTCGTGCAACTTCGTGGTTATAAATAGTCTTTATATAACTTCTTTGCTGTAGGGGTTAATCTTTTTTTGGTATAATATAACAACAAAAGATTAACACCCTTCGCATAAAGATGAAACCAATGCAATCGAAACTCTTCCGCGTAACTTTGTGGATATAGGTAAGTATATTAAGGGTATATTTAACTATTGTCAGATCTCAATAATAAAATGAATAGGTAATTTATTTAAAATCCCTAATCACCCGAAAAAATAGAAGATATGGCAACGTTGTAAATTTTCAAATTTCTAAATTAGGTCTAGAATATATTTGTGTCTATTACATAGGAGAGAGAAAGAACGATATATATAAAATGTCAGACTTCAATCTGGTCTCAATTTTCTTTGTTATGAAAAGTGTTTTTCAATAAATAATAAATTTTCCCAATGATTACCGATCTTAATTAATAACTATTTATATATTTACAATTAATTTATGTTTGTTTCCGAAAATATTTTCATTAAAAAAAAATAAGTAAAAATGGACAACGATGTGCCAGTCAAGCTTAATCAGGTAACTAAAAGTTTATTTGGTATGATCTTTATATTATCTTTGATTTAAATGTAATAATGTAGAATTTTTCTCAGTGTGCCTATACAATTTACTTACGCTTTTCTGGTTTGATTACCGCTCCTTCTAGGACTGTTATACTTTTCTTTGAGTCGTTTATAGCTATTGGCACTGGTACAGGCGTTATAGGATTGGGTATAGAGTCGTTAGTGACCACTTTCGTATCAGATACCAAAGAATTCATGACAGGCCCAGGACCTGGGTTTACCAAACTGTCAGATACTGAAGTCACCTAAATAGATAAAAAGAATCCTCTATTTTTCACACTACATTTTTCCCCAAATAATATCTGATAAAAATAATGAAGTAGTTCAAATAAACCATAAATATTATTTAAAATCTGTCCAGTAAAGCTTTGTCTACACGTAATATTTTACCTTTCAGTCAAAATGTGTCAAATAAATGAGGCCATCTTCAGAAATACCCAAGTTATTCATATTTTGCATCACTTTTTGTCTAATGTTTACAACTAAATTTATTTTTCTATAAAAACTTCTAACAGATTCGATAAATTTAACTGAATATATGACCGCTAGGTAAATATTTGACTAACAAACGACCTACTGGTATCAGTTATTTTTGCTTTTACCACGAGAATTGGCTGCTATTCGTTAAATAATATATAATAATTTTCGATTTAGATGAAGTTACTTAAAATGACAAATTTGACAGATACCCAGGGACAACAGTCAAATTTTCAAGTCATTTTTAATTTAAATCAAAGCAGAAACTATGTGGACTTTATATGTGACACTGTAGAAACAACTATAAACAAAACACACAAATATTTCTTTAATATTTAAATAATACTTACAGTGCTACAAACTTCGGCCAACGCTTGCAACTGATTTGGAGTCACTACCGGTTGACTTCCTGCTGATGTAGTTGTAGTAGTACAGGAAGTCAAGCTCATACAAGTATTAATTGAAGGAATTATTGGTACTGGGATCACTATAACACAAAAAATTAAAATATTAGCAAACCTAACACAAAATAAAAAACAGACAAACCTGCCACTGCTGGTTGTGGTTTAGCAATCGGTCCCCAAGCCATCTTATGTTTGGCAAACTCTGGCAACCACTCCTTTATCGCATTTCTTAGGGCTTGTTTAGGATGATACATATTAGGAGGCAGAGTAGTTGGAACATCTTCTGTCAACCCATCTTCAGTTTCTGTCTCTAATTTAATATCAGCCGAAACAGTGTCATCTAAAAACATTTGTTTATTCTTGTAACTTATTTATAGAAAAATAAAATATTTACTTATGGTAAGATCTCTTTGTCCATCTAGATTACATCTGGACCATTGCGCCAGTGTGTGTATTGCCACAAAATTAGCACCATATTCACAATTCGGATTTGTGACAACCCCTCTCAATTTCGGTATCAGATCTGGTGATCTGCCTGAGTAGGGTCCTAAAAACACCCTTTTTTGATCATAATCGTTTGCATGAAGATTATCCCAAATAACAGGGGGCCTCTTTAAAACCTCTGTGATTTCCTGAATATTTTCCTTAGTCAATGTTCGAGAAATTACTCTAAAACCTGCATAAAAAAAATATTACATAAAAATGTTGTTAAACTCAACAAAAGAAATGTACCAGTCCACATAATATCAATTTCTTGAGCTAATTTAGAACCCAAAGTGTTCAAATACTCTGAATTTGTCACATTAGGCACTGCCCTAGTAGAACAATATTGCGTTGGGCATAACAGAAATTTCGGTTGACCTAAATGTTGGAAGATTTCATTGGTAATAGACACTTGAGCTTGAGCAAATGATTGAAAAATCTCTTTATCAGCTTCAGACATCTCTGGTTCGATATCATCAAACAACAAAGCGAATGCCGTACACCCAAATTGCGAGACTTGCTCTAGTTTTCTTTTCAGTGTTGTGATCTCTTTTTGACTAGAGTAAGTAATATCTAAACCTGGGGATAAGGCATAATAGAATACTATATTTTGGTCTTTAGCTGCTTGAATCAGTCCTGTTAGATGTTCAGCCTCTTCAACAGTGTAGAGTTCCCGCCAGTAAGCTCTGTGTTTATAGTCGTCCTTAGGTGCGTAAACGTACGAGTCCATACCCCATTTTTTCATCCTAAAAAGTGATTGAAAAGTGTATTTATTTTGCATCATTATTGATAAGATGGAGACCTACTTTTGAAACAGGTCTTTTCTTTGTTCGGTGGTCCAGGGCCTGCCATAAAAACCTATAAATTAAATTATCAATTATTAGTAGGAATAATAAGAGTGGAAAAGTACGACCGGTGCTTTTCCATTAGCCCTTAAATGGTAATTTTCCGATTTGTTTACTTACCTTCGACAACGCCGCAAATAAAATTGCCATTTTTCGTGTTTAGATTTTCTGAGACTGGAGAACTTACAACCTCAGCCATTCCGCAGTATCTCACATAAGATTTTACTCACAAAGTTTCGCCAAACTGTTTAAAAATGGAAAAAACTGACAAGAAAACGGGATCAGAAGTTATTTACTTGTCAAATGTTGTTGATTAACGTCGGCTGTCACAGTCACAGTCAAATTAATTTATGGTTAGGTGGTAGTGATGGGTGATGGTAAAAGAATCGATACTTTCGATGGAAAATCGATGGTTTAGAATCAATAATATTTATTTAGTTTTAAGGACAAGATAATTTAGTAAGACACGACAAAAATAAATATAAGAATTAGGATTACTTATACATATTCAATACTTTCAAAACTGTTATTGTACGGGTTTAAAGTAAATTTTATATAGATTTTTTAACACGGACAATGATAAAATCATAGGTTGATATTTTAAAGTATGTTGAAATTTGACTGGATTTGCATTGTTACCTGTTCAGTTTTAATTTAAAAATAGATGCAGTTTTTCTTAAATTACTTAAAATCGGCTGGTCCAGAATTGTTCAAATTTGGCATGTGTATTCAAGTATTCAACATAAGCAGACCTTTAAAAGCTCTATTTACGACTTAGCTATAAAATTAATAGTGGAGCTAATTTTGACTTGGTCAGTTTAAAATGTGCATGGGATTTCCTGTTTTTAACGACGATACACTACCATGTATCTTTAAAGTATCGATATATTTTTCTTCGACTTTAATTGCCCCTTACTATAACAGCCTCATCTATCCAATGTAATTTTAGACCGAATTTTTACACTACACTACAATCTGTGACTACAATACAGTCAATACATTCGAATAGATGGCGCCAGCTGTAATCAAACAAAAAATAATTTCAAAAATTGTATTTGTATTTTTCCCAATTTTTCCTTATATAAAATCAAACAAAATCATTAGCTACCTATAGTTTTAACTAGATATTATACAGGAAGGTGAGTAAATAAAAAACTGTGATATATTTAATTCTTTATTAACCAAATCGACTTTGGTACACAAGCAAAAAATTGAACTTGATTATTTCGCAAAAGGTATGCGAAGTCCACCGAAAAAAAAAGTCAGTACAATTATGCGATACAAAATCAATAGTAAGATAAAAATATACACAAAAGTTATACATAAATAGGGCGAAGATTAGTATATAGAGGAGTATAAGACTAAATATTGCAGAAAAAAGTAATTTGATACGTACTGATGTATAAGAGTATAACACTACGATAAGAGTAATATTAATTTTATTATTAAGATTATAGACTTACGAGCTACGGATAAATATAGCACACTTAAGTTACATAAATAATGGCATTTCAAACCATTATCACAAATAACATTGTTACATTGTCATCCTTTTTTAATTAATTTAAAACATTTTGTTAATTGGAAGTGTTGCCTATCGTGACTAGTCGATTAAAAAAATGACAATTTTAAGCTACATCTAAAAAAATATATATTATGCATGGATATAAGGCAAATTTTAAAAAAAATCTTTAAAAAAAACCTGTAAAATGTACTAGATCTTGTAAAATAAGAAATTTTGGTACTCGTTTACTTAAGAGATACAGGCAGTGGCAATAGAGATATAGATATTTAAAGATATCCACGATTAAAAATTTAAGAACTTTTTAAAATTTGCCTATTTCTTTATAACCAGAGTATCGTTTACTACTTAGGAACTTGAAGCTAACCAAACTTGCATAGTGAAAAGAGTATTAAATTATTAAATATATAATTATAATTAGAACTAGAAGATCATGAAATGGATTTTTTTATTGAGCGTTGTTTTTAAAAAAATATATACCTAATACAGAGTGTTTCTTAATAAGTATACAATATTTATAGGGTGGTTTTTGAAGTATTTTCAAGATATATAGTTCATATAAACGTGTGTTCTAAAATGCATCGTTTTTTCATAATATCTTTGAATCTATTCCAGAAAAATTGAAAAATCACCCTGTAAAATATTAGACACTTATTCCAGACACACCCTGTATAAATAAATACCTTGAAACACGTATACATATGTCTTAAAAGATTTTTATTTTTTTCATATACCATGTGATCAGAATAAAAAGAATGACGCAGTAGGCCTAGAAATAGCATTTTTGTTTGGATTAGATACTATATCTGATCCTGAATAATATTGATGGTTACAGTGACAGCTGAATATATGTAATGGTGTATTATTTATTATAGACAGCTGTCAAGTAGACAAACAAAAAAGAAAATACTATATGTATACTACAGTGATTGTGATAGTAGTGTATAGTAGAATTCGAATAAGAATGTCATTTCTACGCCTTTTGTGACATTTTGATTCGACAGTATGGTACTTCAAAGTATGTATATACAGTATACTATAGAATTTAACTGAAATATAGCGATTTTATGATCTTCCTGCTAATGTAAGCAAAACAGTGTGGAATATAGGGTTGAAATTACCGAGAAACCAACGAAAGCGTATATATTTTAACATGGGAAGAGTCTAAAATGCCACCATATTAATTATAATTCTCATACACCTAATAGCTACATATCTTATCACTCTAGAACTTTGAAAACAAGCCGAAATTCTGCCTGCTGAGTATTTACTTTGTCTTCAATATACTTTATTTTTTTTGTTAATTTTTTAATGTTAAAACTTGGAGATGACAGCTATATAGATATATATTTTGAGGGAATCTCTCATCGTGTCTAATTTTGAATTTCAACACCTACGTTTAGTATAGCTTAATGCATGCTTAACCCTTAGAAACATTGATATATTTTTTATTTAAATATAGTATAAGTTTAATTAATAACCCATTCTTTTTGAATTTGCTTAAAATTTTCGACTAAGAGCGTTGGATGCGTATGTTTTAATTTTTTTTTCCAGCTAAACAGTGGCGTAGAATTATACAGGGTCTTTCACACAACACATTCATTAACTTAGAATCTAACTTAGACACAACCAACCAAAATATCCTTAACTTAAGGCATTTTAAAAGACACATCTTAAAATAGGAGGTAATTTTTTTAGCTGATATCGTTTATATAAAAAAATTACAGTATATACAGTGTGTTTCAAACAACATGTGCCATCTCTCGTGGGGAGATTCTTCACGTAAAAATAAGATTTATTTTTCTGATCAACATAGGTCCGATTCTGCTTTATTTCGTAGTTACAGGGTGTTGTGTGTGTGGACATATTCAGTATGGACGTGGATATGGGTTATCACTGGAATGTTTTTCTAAAAAAATAATGTACGCCACTGACCTTTTTTTCTCTTAATAGCGAAATAGTGTAAGAAGTTTAATGACGATTAAAAGTTGTCCCTTGGTCTTTTGTCGATTTCGGCCCCCTTGATAAGATAGAGATAAACGCAATTTTATTTATTATAAATTAGGCTTCTTGTAATTATCTTAAATACCATTATTTTTTTATTTGAAATTGCTGTAGGTTGGATTAATAGTAATAATAACTAATAGTAATAATATTTAATAATAAATAAGGTAAAATATATATAATTCGTTAATCTTGTTTTTATTTTATTGTGATTAATAAAATTTCGTTTATCTCATCAAGGAGGCCGAATTCGACAAAATATCTAGAGATAACTTTTAATTAGCATTAAACGGTCTATACAATTTTTATATCAAAAGAAAAAAGTCAGTGGCGTACATGTTTTTTTTGAAAAATATTCCAGTAATGACCCATATGCACGTCCCTGATGAATTTATCGACACTTTTTTAGCAATAAAATATGTAGCACTTATAGTCATTGTTACCCTCAAAATTTTTCATTCAAATCACTAAAAGTACTTGGAAGAAAATTATAATAAATCGAAAGATTATTAAAATTTTAACACCCTGTAGCTACGAAACAAAGCTGAAGCGGACCTATGTTGATATAAAAAATAAATCTTACTTTTACGTGAGGAATCTCCCCACGAGAGATAGCACATGTTTTTTTAAACACCCGGTAGAAGCCTCCCCAAACACAAAACCATAAAAATTTCTCTGCGAAAATGCAAAATCATTTTCTTTTTTCCGACTTTAGAATTACTCAAATCAGTTTGAAAGTTGAGCCCAAACTAGTTTGTTTTTAAGCAGGTTACGTGAAAAATCTTGTATTGAGTTACAGAACTGTATAGCGGAATGCAAAAAGGCTACGATATATAATACAATAGTATAATAATTTTTATCCAATGGCATTTTACCTAAAGCTGGCGACGCACAACCTTCAGAAACTTGTACAGCTCGTATAAAACAAAAAACCTAACGAAATCATATCGCCAACCGTGTACTAAATGCTACTCGACACGAAATAATTATAAAAAAAAACAATAATAATTAATAATATTAAAGCATAAAAAAGTAAACAGTATGCTACCTATACAAAATATAAATTGGGGGATGCGCCTACAATCAGTTGTTGGTACTTTGTATATTAGCGTTTTTATGTTTTCTTAAAAAATTTTGGCACCAACTGTAGACACACACTCAGAAATGCCAGTCGAAATATTTACTGCTTGATTGGGTGGGAAAATTCACGTTTTTTTCCTAATAGAAATATCAAAAATATATATTATATATGAGTATATGCTGAGCATTGTAAAGTATTTCTGCAATAGTATTCCTTGTTATATTAATTTTTTTCTTAAATTTTTGAGTTAAAATGCTACCATCGGAAAATATCATACAAATTTTAAAAACTATAAATAAAAGTACCACCATTTTTGAAATTTACATGAAATTTCCTATGTTCAGACTGGTGATGCAACTGGTAGGTACAGGGTTGTTCACCACATACGACACGGAGTATTGTAGCTAAACGATTAGATTTTTACAAATTGTAAGTTTTGGGTTCGTTGAAGGACTATTAGAGCTACAATTTAAAAATATTTTTACAAGATACAGAGTGTCCAAAATAAGTAAAAAATATCATAGTTGTATTTTTTTAAATAGAACACCCTGTATATTATTCTATTTTTGGATTCTACGATTGAAATAAAGGTAAATTTGATTCAGGTTTATCACACTTAAACGTTACCGTTTTTGAAATATTTTCAATTTTAAGAAATTGCAGTAAAAATTTTAATGCTTCATTTTTCCAAGGGTATCAAAGTTTTTAATACTAAATATTTACTGAAGATTATCTATTGATCAGATATTGTGTTGCAATAATAAAAATTTTACTACCTTATACAGAGTGTCCAAAAATTTATATTAAATAATTACTAGCTTTAAACGGCCATAACGTGTTTAAGTTAAATGGAACACCCTGTATATTTTACGTGAATCATATGCACAATTTAATAGTCTATCAAATTTTATTATACCATTTTTTACCTATCTTTGCAACTTTTCGTAGAAAATGCATTTTCTTATAATTTAGACCTCATTTATCACTATACCCATGGAATATTGACATTTCAGATTTTTTTTAAGCAACATTTATACACAAAATATACAGGTGGTAAATATTGCAAGCCTATTGGTATACCAAAAAAACTATTTAAATCTTTATAAAAGAGTAAACGAATTAAATATACCACCATCAAACGAATTAAATATACCACCATTCTAAATAAATGTGGATTTGGCACAGAAATCAATATAATAATAAATTATGAAAATAAACGTGTCTGTTTTTATAAATCAGCATTCGTCAAAAAATGAAATAAAATTTATAAGGCGTTACTTTTTACCACACTGTCTAATACACACACAAAATTCAGTTTTTTATTATTTGGAGCAATTATTATTAATCAACATAAACAGTCAATTAATGTAGTCTGAATACTGGGATCATATTAATTGGTCCTTTTTAACAAAAATATTTAAACAGTTTTTTTATTTTTTTTTTAAGAAATAAGCGAGCTATATCGACAATATTAGTATCTGTACTCTTGGAAAATTGGTTACATCTTTAAAAATAATCTAAAATGTCAATATTCCATGGGTATAGTGATAAATGAGGTCTAAATTATAAGAAAATGCATTTTCTACGAAAACTTGAAGAGATACGTAAAAAATTGTATAATATAATTTGATAGACAATTACATTGTGCATCTGATTCACGCAAAATATATAGGGTGTTCCATTTAACTTAAACACGTTATGGCCGTTTAAAATATTTCAAAAACGGTAAGGTTTAAGTATGATGAACCTTAATCAAATTTACCTTTATTTTAATCTAGAATCTAAAAATAGAATAATATACAGGAAGTTCCATTTAAAAAAATACAACTATAATATTTTTTATTTAGTTGGGACACTCTGTATCTTGTAAAAATATTTTTAAATTGTAGCTCTAATAATCCTTCAACGAACCCAAAACTTACAATTTGTAAAAATCTAATCGTTTAGCTACAATACTCCGTGTCGTATGTGGTGAACAACCCTGTATATAAAATTTTGTGATGTATTTTTTACTTAAATAAAAACACAAAAAACCTTTCAATATAATCTTGCTTTACCCTATCGTTTATACAATGACCAAGATTGACAACAAATTAAAAAAATCTTCATCGAAAAAAAAGTGTGTCATAGTGGCCATATTGATACTGAAAAAAACTAAATATTTCGACTGACATTTCGACACGACACCTAAACGAAAACGCCGACAAACCACAAAAATATCACAATGACACATTGAGCCACTTTATTACGTCAAATGAAAAACGGAACCCACACATTAACACAACGACACCACAAGTTTAAGAAAACCCTACCTATACGGCTAACAAACACTCTTGGCAAAATGTGTACGTTTCATAGTAGCGGCTGTTTTAGTCACAATTATTATAATATTATCGAAAAAAATGAAAACTTAAATAATATATTTGGTTTTGGATCAGAATTAAACAATAACCAACTAAAGAAGAGGGTTTTTTTGCAGTAAATCGTCACAAAACGAATTGAAACCATCTTCCAGAATTACACGATTTTTCCTAAAAGCACCTATTTTTCCTATAAACCTTATTTAAAAATTATAAATATAACAAAAGATGAATCATACTTTGACATGTTATGTATTTCATTATTTTAAAGTTTTGTGAATATTTACCGCAAAAATTAGACGATTAGCAACCACAAGATGCTTACATATAAATATATAAGAAGCATCCTACTGTTTCGGGAATAAAAATACATCTGAGCATTGCAAAAAGTTTAAGAAATAAGTAAGAAAAAATACGCTGTTTTCCTCTTGTTCTCTGTATGAATGTGGCTGCTAAACTTCCGAGTTTACAGTTGAGTCAGAGATGGCTGTGACAGTTTACAGATTACACTGCCACAGTATCGTAGGCTGTGAGTCCCCCGTTTGCTGTTGCGGTTTGCCCTGTTTCGTTTCTAAAAAAATCACAAAAAATACAAATCTTTAAATAAATTTCACATTTTTTAAATAGTTGATGTATTAAAAAATCAAGGCTTAATCAAAATAACCCAGAAAATATTTGTTTTGTTTTTTGTTATATAAAAATGTTGTAGACAAGTCCAAACAGATTGGTTGTACATGCAAGAAAAATATGTTTAAAATTATATTTTCTTCAAAAGCCTGAAAAAAAATATAATACTATTTTGGACTGGTTTTAATATAAATGTTATACAGTGTGGTCCAAATTGTAATCGGGAAACTTTGACAACATATTATGCTGTAGGTAAAAATAAGTAAAAAGGTTTATATAAATTCTTGTTCTACAATTCTTCGTTTCGGAGATACAGGGTGTAATACAGATACGGACGAAAACTTATTACTCTTCGAAATAATGAAAAAATATTTGGGTGGCTCCCATCAAAATTTATCATGTCAAAAAACACACAGACATCAATTTTCATCCAAATATGGACGTTACTTCAGAAATTATTGAGATAAAAACGAAATAAAAATGAAACTTCTATACCCTGTATCTCCAAAACAAGGACATAAATATGTACAAACTTTTTTACTTATTTTTAACTGCGAATACGTTGCCGAAATTTTCCATTGTAACTCGGACCACCCTGTATATTTATCCTTAGTCCAAAAACTTTAATAAAACTGTTGAAATTAATATTATTATAAATTATAAAAAGCATATTATAAATTATAAACAAGTAAAACAATCATGCTAAGTGCATAACATAATCTTCCGACATGGCAACACAATCATTGAACCATATATTATATAGTTAAAGCTTTATAATAGAGTAGGTTCTTTGACAAACCTATCAAACCTCTGTATTACAAAACTTTACAGTTTCATGGATGTCTACAAGAAGCATAAACACTACCTTATTTTTTGAGTTGATAAATATTTTTCTTGCCTGCATTATTATTTTTTATATTTTTTTTAGATAATAAAAAACATTTATAAAAAATAAGGTAGCATCTAGTAACCCAAAAACCGATTAAAAACCAGTGCACATATATTTTTTTGTTAGACACACAAAAACATTGATTTTGAAAACAACACCGACAAAACAAACAGAAAAAAAAATAAAACAAAACGATGCAACAGACAAAACAAAAACATAAAAAGCATAGTTTTCTATTTGCAGACTTACAGTTTCCTGGTTGAGAGGAGATTCATGTGAAAGAGTTACGTTTTATTTGATTGCTTGGCAGGATCTTGATAAGATACGATTAAAAATTGCTTGTTTTAGTATGTGCCGTAACAAGTTCTTGTAACAGAGAGTTGAATAACATACACTCCAGATCAAATAACAAAACTAATATTACTTTGAAATATATAGCTATAATTTTAATGTCATAAACCACAAATTTGAATTCATATGAATTAAACAACTCATATGAATTAAACAAAATCCGTACCTTTTTTTTATATTATTTTATTTGATCAAACTCTATGCTATATCCCTGTTGCAAGACTATTAATTGATTTATTATTAAGTTAATAACATTTAATTATCAAACTGACAATATACACTGTGTAACATTTGATTAAAGTGTTTTACAATGTAGAACAAAATAAAAATTAATAAAACAATAACCAAAAAGTATTTAAAAATCGTATAGTATAAAATATGGTTTTATTAAAGAATATTTTATTCTACAAGTAAAAACATTGAAAATTAGATTCAAAAAATGACCAAAACTGGTTTAAAAAACGACAAAAAAACACTGGATACACAAAAACTTTTCTTTTTTTCTTAGAAAAAACGCAAGCCATTATTAGGGGCATATTATTTTTATTTTATTTTTATTAGGTTGGTACTGACCTCTCAATCAGTTTTCTCATTTCCTCGTGGGTCATGCCATCCTTCGCGTTACCTCTCATTACTGAAAAAATAGATCACACATGTCTACACGACCACAATAATGGACAACACTTAACCTAGGGATAATTCTAAAAGGGTGTGTGGTTTCACTAATACGAATCGTGTAATTGAAGATGCCTGGTATGGATGCAAAACATAATTAAAGTGAAATTATAAAACGAATTTTGAGAACAGATATAGAGAAATGATTTTTACTTTTTTAAAGTGCCATTGCTGTATTAAGAACACTGATTTTTAATCAAGGAGATTTGGAAAAATATATTTGATTGTCTAATTTTTTAGTGTCTTATCCCAGCCAGTTAAAAGATGCCCAAACCGTATTTTTAATCATATCTCAATTTTTTCAAATGGAACCAGGGTGGCTCATTAGCATATTTGGAAAAAGCATTTTTTTACAAATAATTTGATACCACACACTTGGTATTCCAAATCAATTTGTCGTTATGAACCACATGTTTTAATTTCAAATAAACCATGTGCGAAAATGTTAAAAGTTTACATATGATATGTCATTCTATTCAGAGTGTCATTTTCTATCGAATAAAGTAAAAAAATACCGAGGGTGCCATTTTAAAATCAAAAGTTGTAGTCATTTCTGGTGAAACCGGAAGTGACCAAAAACAATTGAATATGTCAATCAATCCTAATTTATGTCATATGTGATTATCTGAAAAAATAAAAAAGTTATAGGGGGCGAGCCACTTTTGAGACGCACCGGGTATATGTTTTATAATCATTAGGACAAAAAAATGAATGTAAACTATATCTGTTCTCTTTTTAATGAAGAAAAATTAGGTTAATTTCATTTAATAAACAAATTAAACCAATTTTTCAAATATGCAAATAAACAATGAGAAAAATGTTCCCATTTTAAAAACTACTGATCCAGTTATTTTAAACAAGTCTTTTCCGTGTGGTTAGAAAGTAAAATTCCTTATTTTACTAATATTTTATTTACCACCAAATTGTCTGTATACTAAAAATATAAAAAGATGATAATCATAGTTTTATGAATTATGAAGAATTGTAATGAAAGATCAATCAATTAAGTAAGTAGAAGTCATAAAACCAACTATTAAGTCATACGAGAGAAAATAAAATACTTAAAAATACAATAATAAAAAACTCGTTAAAAATAATAAGATCAACAGAGGCTACGTTATTGTTATTTAGCAATAAAAAACAATACAAAAATGTTATAAAAATATTTTTTTTTAATAAAATAAAAGTTTGCTTATAAAATAAGGTAGCCAAAAAAAAATGTAAGTAATTAATATACTAAAATATGAAAATTAGTGACAAACCATGCAGTTAGAACAACGAACATTTGTGCTAAAATATTCATAGAAAATTTTTTTGATTTTACTTAATCTTATTCATCATTTTGTCTTTTCTTCATTGAATTTATAATTCTTTGTGTTATTTAAGAACACAAACTTGATGAATAACATTAATTAATGAAGTGATATATGATAAAGTCAGATTTATGATGATGATGATGGACGATATGAACGAAGAATGTATCCATCTATTTCAGTGTCAATACCAAAAGTCAAAAATACGCTCAAACTTTCATTTTTTTAGACTTACCCTGTTCGTCTTCTGAAAGTTAATTTAGATATGCAGTTTTTAGTAAGGGGTCTCGTGATTAACTTATCTACTATTATAGTGCTTATATATAAATAATAATATTCTAAGGTTAATATTTAATAAAAAGAGGGGAGGGGGAAGCATAATGCGGGAGTTAATTTGTCATATCGAACTGTCTCTATTTAGTATATTTTGTGTAGTTTGGAGACTAGTTGAGTAATATTCATATCAACCAAGTTCTTAAGATCCGGATGCAGGATTATTACGCTCAACATGTTAATCAAAACCTAATTTTTCCGTATATTTATGAATAGAGGAATACACTTTTAACAGGGTGCTAATCAAAAAGTTGCCGCCATTATGTCTAATCAGTAATAATAATAATGGATTTTGGAGATGACTTTGATTGATCATTTTATAGAGAGTGGTTCAAAAAACATGTGCCATCTCTCGTGGGGAAATTCCTTACGTAAAAATAAGATTTATTTTTCATATCAACATAGGTCCAATTCTGCTTTGTTTCGTAGCTACAGGGTGTTAAAGTCTTAATAAACTTTCGATTTATTATAATTTTCGTCCAAGTACTTTTAGTGATTCTAATGAAATTTTGAGGGTAGAAGTTACTATAAAGATGCAAGTGTGTTCAGTGAGAAGTTAATTTTAAGTTTGTGCAATTATATTTCTATTTCTTTTTTCGTTGGACTTTCTAAATACTCGTAAAAATGACTAGAAAGTGTTTAGTGTGTGAAAGTTTTAATATGTATTATTATAAATTATATCTTTTCATAGCCAAGTAAAGTATTCAGTTGTTCTTATCGATATTAAGCCTCATGCATACTGGTTAGATTTCCTAAGAATATTGATATTCGTACGGAGTGGCTAAATGTATTTTTTATATAATTTAATTTTTTATGACGGTAAACATTCAATTTATTGTTGAAATATAAGCATTTTACAAATTAAATTTTTAAAATTAATGTTTGAATTTGACACGCGGACGATAGGTCCTCGATAAGGATAGATAAAGTAGAAGCATCGCGTGTGCAACAAAAAAAGAAGCGTTGATATGTTTGCGACAGTTTCCATAGTGATTTACTTATCCACGTAAGTGGATACCGTATGATCAAAAAAAAAAAAACGGCGTCCAGTTGGCTTGGAAATGACGATCGATGACATTTCCCATATAATTTTACATATAAAATGACAGCGATCTTCATTTAATAGCCATCGTTGACGCCGTTTTTATTCGATCATACGGTATATATGATCTAGGGTCCCGACGCACAGTGATGCAAAAGTTCCCAAAAGCGGCAGAAAATCAAAATATCGGTATTTTTTTTTAATTATAATTTTACTCGTATAGTTCCTAATAGTCCATATTTTCAGAATCGTGAAGATTTTTGAATAAAATCGGGCCCATTATTAATCCCTGATAAGAAATGTTCGAGCTTATAAGATTATTAGCTGACGCTAAAATATTTTGATTAAATTTTGATTAAATAAAATTAGTGCGTTTAAAGTTGATGATAAATTAGCTAAAAACTGATGGTACTCTGAGAAAGTACAATGTTTTCGACTGTTTTTCCTCATGGTAATTCTAGTTTTAACTTCCCTGGTACCATAAACAAAATCAATTAAGACCTTGATGTAATTAAGAACTGCATAATCTAAAATCACATTTTATGTAAGCTAGTACAAAATGCTCCAAATTGCTCCAAAAAAATATGATGTAGGTAAGAATTATTAGCCTTTTTTCTTCATAACTACGAAGTTTCATGGCCAACATTAACCCACAAATACCCTTTAGGTTGCTTAACTCTCCCGAAAACCATGATTTAGTTTCCCAAAATAAATTAAGTATGACAGTATATTACTGGGTGATTCTTAGGTGCTGTAAAATATTGTTGTTGGTTATTTTTAATTAGTTTTAGAAAGGAAACTGTAATATATTTTCTCTTATTCAATTTAATTTTCGATATACAAAGTATTCAAATTTAAAAATAATTTTTAATATGTAATTTTAACTGGCTTTTCCCAGTTAAGCCTAAGTTTTTATTCGTTTTGTGCTTATATGACATTAAATTTAATATTATGAGAAATCTCGTTAATTTTGAATAATTATTGTCAATATAAACTACAAAGACGTGTCAATGTGTCTATGATGCGTCAATATTCAGTCAACAACTTTTATCAAGAATGCCATGCACCTTGTAGATACTAATTTTCTCGGAGTTAGTAAGAGGTCACCAAGACTTCTCCTGTCAAGTAAAATAAAACAGCATCCTGAGGCTCCAAAACCTATTATACATTAAATTGTTCAATTTTTATTATCCATTTTATCTAGAAGATTTAGGATAATTTTTAGTTTCTTTTTCTTACGTATTAAATTCTTGTAACTAAGTTCTAATTATAATCTAAGTATAACATTTTTACCACAGGTAATTACAGATATTTCTAAATTATAGAACATTTAAAAATATAACTAAAATTGAATGGTTGTAAGTGAGCAACTGCTTACATCTAATGCGAAAAGAGCGCTCTTAGAGTCTTTTAGATGTTTTGGTGTTACTCTCATTAATAGCTAACTACATAAAATATACAGATGTATTTAGTTTCTTTTTTTTTCTCATGGAAATGAATGTAAATATCTTTTTTAAGTTGAATTTAAGTAATACTTATTGGTAACTAGTTCTGAAAAAAAGATTAATTATATTAAAAACGAAATGCTAATTCTATTGTAAGGGGCTGAAAATAAAACCCTGTATATTTATTTATGTGTTTACACAATTTTTTTTTGATTTTTTAAACTTTACAAAAAATAGAGTATTAAATTAATATGCTAATAAAGACAAAATAATATAATTAAATTTTTTACAACCCATTTTTTATTTTTTACAGCCAATTTAAGTACACTCAGTATACATAATTCAATTTTCTGAATTCAAAACATCACTTATATACTTAGAAAACCACATTTAACAAAAATAATTTAAAAAAATGTAGTAGTAAGTTGAAAAATTACTTTTTGCCACTTTTCGCGTTTTCGGCATCACTGTGCTTCGTCCCATGGACAAAAATTAAAAACTAAGTTAAAATTTACTAATATCTGAATGTATAATTTTATACTTATAGCAATGTTCAACCATCCTGTATATTATTTTTCATAAACAGCGTTTTTGTTAGCTAATATTTTCACTAAAAATAAATTTTGCGATCATTATCTCATCAGTAAAAAGAATAACATTCATAGTAGTTCTGTATATTATGGAGTTAAACGGGTACGTACTTAATTGAAAGCCACTATGGATATTGTTAAACAAGGTATGTACTTTAAATTTATTTCTAAACAAGTTCGTGATTGTTTAGTTTTTATTTATTTTTTAAGATGATTCTTAAATGGGTATAAAAATTTTACGTTTTCAAACTTCAAAAAGGCATTTAAAAAAAACATATCAAAACATATCGTATTTATTGAATATTTTTGTTGCCATATTCATACACTTTTAATTTTTGTATAGTTCACCTGCGTCTGCTTGCGACGAACTGTATTTTATAATACTTTTCAGATGGAGTAAAATTGATAAGCAATGCCGATTTGGCTAATACTTGGCTTGATCATAAGGACAAGAACTCAAAATTATTTGTATTTCAAAAAATATGTTCTTATTAGATATTGATGAACTTTCCAGTCAAATGAGACACCACTTGTGCCTGAAAAAGTCCACTATGTTGGAGCGGAACGTCGCATAAAAAAAGTGTCCATCTTTTAATTTATTATAAAATCTCATACCCAAGAAAAGGAAAAAATAATATATGGATATGGTCTATTAAAGAGGTAACTATTAACATCCGAACCCCTCATACCGACAAAATAAACAGTAACAACGCGAAAAAGTAATATATTAGAAAATGATGTACAGAAATATCTCATCTGTGAGGATACTTCATCTACCTGTGATTTGGATACTATAAATTTGGAAGATTCTGTCAGCAGTGATTCTCCTGAATCAGAGTAGTTACGATCTATGCATTTTGTTGTCCTAAAGTAAATTTATAGTATCTTAAGTTTTTTTTAATTAAATATAACATTAATGTTTCTTTTTCATTAAAGAAAAACATTTTTATCTTATATTAGGCTTATATTGTAGGAATCATGTTCTAATGTTATTTCAATTCTTTTTTATCACAGGAATTTATTTAATACTTACACTGTTTTCATACTATAACTTATTATTTGCTTAGATGGAACACAGCTCCAACATTATTATTATTTATAAGATTTTTTTTCATAAACGTGGGACTAAGAACATCATCATTTAGTACAATGAGAGTACTCATCATTTGTGTCAAATAAACCTAGTTTGAATAAATTGCTTACAATAAAAGAGAAGTTTTGGATTTTTGTCCTCTAGAGCCATATGTTCGAAGCACTGTGCGACGGTCCCGGTGACTTAAGTCGCTGCAAAGAGTACCCAGCGACCGTCTGGTCACTGTCACCGGTATACCGGTGACTTAAATGTTGCTGTTAAGCTCATCTCTACTGAGTACTTTAAAGAAAAGACCTACAGCAATATCACCAACAAATATTTATACCAAGTAATAGAGACAGTACGACAGAACCTGTTGTTGTTTTTAGTACTTTCATTCGAAATCTCTCTTTTAATATTTCCCTAACTCTACGTACCTCCGTAGGTCCTACTGTTAATCAGCTGATCCCTGTCGCACTCAGCCTCCGAAATCTCGTTCGAGTCCTTCGAATCGTTGAAGGAGGGGTCGTGGTTCCTCGGCGGCGGCGGCGGCGGTTCCGGCGAGCTGCTCGTCGGCTGTATTCTCAGCGAACCTGCGTGAAAAGCGGGCGTTGACGCCGGTGTGCCTTCCGGTACTACACAGTCTCTACAGGGGTATCTACTACGGTACTTGCCTAAGGAGCGGCGACCGATGGAGCCGCGGCTGCCGTACTGGTCGTAGGGGGCGCCGTAGCCGCCGTACTGCGAGCCGTACTGCTCGTCCTCGGGGGCGCAGTTGGCCGGATCGTCGTACTCGGGGCCAGGGGAGTAGATGCTGCCGTTGCCTGGAAGAGTAAAAGTGTTTTTTTAGTTTTAAAAAGAATATTAGCCCAGAGACTTTTACCTCAGAATTCAATTACTGTAACTGTATTAATGTGAAATCTTCTGTATTGGGTTTTATAGATAAAATACTAAAATGTTTACTTATTTTTTTCTCATTGCTTTTATTTGTTTATTTTAATAATTTTAGTAAATTCTTAGTTATTTCCTTCTTAATTTTTTTAATAATTTAATTTTTTTCTAAGTAAATTTATTGAAATAAATGAATCTAATGCATAAGCTATACCTATTCCGCTTATATTCTACCTAATCATTAAAATTTTGATTGAAATCGAGTTATACAGGGTGGCGCGTCATATACGACGCGGTCCTAGTCAACAGATCCGGTCCCCAAACAGGCCTTTTTGACATAAGATTTGCTTCATTTAGTCTTCTTCTTATAGTCTGTTAGTTATTATGTACGTTTCTTAGGTGCAATTCATTATAAATTTGAAAAGCTGGCTTAGCGATAAACTTACAATAAGTCGATCGTCTCGATTAGAAGTTCTCATACGAAGGTTCCTGGGCGTCTAAATTGACATCCTCATGGACGTTGTGATAATTCAAAAACCAGTCAGTATACTCTACGGTATTAAGGTATTTTTGGAACCAGAATTTTATAGCAAATTCACTGAACTGAACAAATATAAAGCATTTCATTTGAAAAACTAAAACATAAGTGTAAAAATATATTTGGCTCACCCTGTATATCTATAAAAATATTTTTGAAATGTGAACTACCATTAAATACATATTTTGGAAAAAGTTTGGAATGAAAATTTCAAATAGGAATCCTGATACAGAGCTTTTTCGGACAACACGGAAACATCTTATATTAACCTAGTGAAACGTTAATATATTTATACAGGGTGAGTATTTATTTCATACATGTGTATTTATTTCAGGACTAAAGTGAAAGCAACAAATTTAAATGAGTAAATTTTGTAATATATCTTATTAACAATACAATGCAAAAAGTTTTATAAAAATTCATTCACAGTTTCACAGTAAACGAATTCCGAGGTTTGTATCCCATAATAAATAGAGCCCTTATACGACTAGATATTTCATAAAAATCGATTTAGACACGTTTTTTTGTACAGGGTGAGTCAACAATAGAGTAAAATCCATTATCTCATTTGTTTCGAGGTTTACAAAATAATGTTAAATATAATAGTTATAGGGAAGGTTGAGATACACATTTTAAAATTATTATAGAGTATGCAGGGTGCTCCAAAAAAATGTGGCGGATACAACATATCTTTTTTTTTAAATGCAACACCCTATTTTTATCTTATTTTTATATTCTGCGTTAAATTCTATAACTTTTTGTGTATAATATTATATATCTACCTAAAATTAATAGTTTTTGTAATGTTTGAATTTATTTCAACAAATCTTAGATTTCTCTCTCAGTGTAGTAAAAAATTGTCACTGATGCCAATGTTTCTGAAGTTGGGACAACTAAAATTTGATAGGAGAAATTTATAAAGATGAAGAAAAAATATATGTAAAGATAGTTTAGTTAGATGCTACAGGGTGTTCAAAATATATTTATGAATTTCAACTACTTAAAATTAAAAAATCTGAAATTTTTTAAATGACATACCCTATATATTATCATTTTTTCTGATAGATTATGCAAAACTCTACAACTTTTATAAGGTATATCATATACCCATTTGTAATAGCTTGCGATATCTGAATTATTCAATTTTTCATAACTTTTATATTTAACATTTTTTTAAACCTCTCAAAAAACCTAAAAAATGAGATAATGGACTTTACTCTATCGTTGACTCACCCTGTACAGCACAGATGTACAAAAAGAATCCTATACAGATAGTGTCAATTTCTAGAAACTTCCAGTATAATCTAAGCCGATGTATTGGTACACAAGATGATCTGAAATATTAAAAGATATAAAACTAAATAATTTACACCTACCTTGTGAGCCAACCCTATCATATCTTCGGTTCTGCCTGGGCATCGATTGGGAACCGTTACGTGAGTGCATTTGGTGAGGCGTGTTCATTCCGGAGGGTCCCATAGTACCAGCATGGGGGTGGGGGAAGGTCTGGAACTGCATCGCCTTACTGGGATCCATTTCTTCGCGGAAGCCCAAAAGATGGAAAGTTGCGTACGGGCAGATCTCATCGTCCATACCTTAACAATGAGAAAATACGTCTATTTTCTTGTTATAGAATCTATTGTATGATATCATAAGCTGTTCTCCATTCAGATAATACAAGGTAAAGTTGATATCAGCATATGCTCTAAGATGCTACCTGAGAGCACATAAAATGGGCAAATATTTAGGTAGGTGCGTAAATTATGTAAAATATCGTAAGTGGACTGGCTAACTAATGAATAAGCTGTCATTTTAAATAGAATCAAAAACAAACAGAATAAGAATGGAGAACAGACATATTTAGACAAATTTACACCCTAAGTAGTACCAAACCATAATGTTCTAATTTCAGAACCTAAAAATATTATATAAATACCAAATATTATTGTCTCACTGGGTTAATATTAGATACAACATTTTACTTAAATTTATTTTATAATGGTATAAACATACAACATGCGGATGATAAAGCGCAGCTAATAAGCTTTATTTTCGGAAACTTATTATCTAACAAGGCTAAACTTACTTTGTTAAAGAAGAACACACACGACATTATGAAGATAGTGTTAGTATTTTCGTAAAATAGTAATTATAAAAATCATAATAATAAATATTAATTCTCTTGGTGCATGTAATGCACCAAGAAAAATAAATATTGTGCTACTTAATATAAAAAATAAAATAATAAATAAATTTCACAACGTACAAGCAAATTATAAAAAAAAATATTACTATTTTTAATATAAATTTTAAATTATTGTTTCTTACGTTAGAAAATATTTATGTTGTGAAAACGTATGGGAGTTTAAGAGAAATAATATATTATAAAATATTAGTTTAAACCAGTCAAGTAGGTGTTTAATAACAATTGTTCTATTTGTTTTATAAGAACCAAATTGTTATAAAAAATATTTGTATAAAATGATGGAATAGGTATATAAAAATAATTATAAACTTTAAATAAAACCCTTATGAAAAGATATTACAAGTAAACTCATTCTCTCCACATGGATTGAAGTTTGCAGTTCGCTAAAATGTTATTACTTCTTTTAGTAAAAATAAACTATAAATAAATTACTTACTTTATCTCCCATTAAACCGTGTTTCCAAGAATTTTAGACATAATATTGGAGATCTCGCAACTTTCTGCAGTGGAAGAATTGCGTTGGGAGACTTGTTTTACATCCTATGTTTTTGATAGGATAAATATTTTCCAATGCGCGTCCAAGATTCTTGAAAACACTATATGTTATTTTATTGAGTAAAGACAAATTAATTAGTATATCGAAATTAAATTAGAGTTAAAAATTTTTGTTAAATCAAACTATTATTTTTATAAACTATAATTTTTTATAGGTTAAAAATAAACTAAAATTCACTCGAAATGGCAGACTCAAACCTCAATCAGTCCGATATTTTACCTCTGTGGGTGTGAATGGTGTCGTTCGAGCCCCTCCTGCTCCTCAGCTCTTCGTACAAGTGGCGTTGGCGAGGGTCCCACGTGGAATGAGAACGATAATGAGCCCCTAGATTATCGGATGTAAAATAATAAAAACAAAAACAAACACAAAAGGTAGAAAAGATGGTACTTCCTCTTGTCGAATCAGAAGTTTGTCGAGATTTAAAACACTTAACAGCAAATTATAGAGAAAGGGTAACACAAAAATCTGTTTACATATAAGCCTACTACAGCATGAGTATTAACATTTGGGTGGTTTTGAGAACGTTTTTGGAGGAAAAGAATATGTCCATATCCATATCTCAATACTATATTACTTGTTGAAATATTAATTTCAACTTATATTTTTGTTTCTTTAAAATTATTTGGCTTGTTAATTTTTATATTTCGTTTTTTTCTTGATTTATTTATAGTGATATTATTGATTTATTTCTTGTTTTTTTCTATTATTTTGTTAATTTTTTTTAGATTTTGTTTCTTAATTTTAAGTTTTAATTTTTTGTCCTTTATTGAAAAACATTATTTCTAATCTACAAAAAATTCTATATGGATATTTTGCCACTGCAAGAAAATCGACAAAATAAAATAGTTATTTTTTGTAAACACTTCTGCGTTAATCCAAACAGAAACTACTTGTAAGAAGTTAGGTTTACAGATATACAAATTTGCCTAACGAACAAAAAAATGCTTAACGTTTCGGAAAGTTTATCTCTTTCCATCGTCGAAAGCAAAAAAAAATACAAATAATAAAAAAAACTATGTAAAATATTTAAATTCGACTATTCGAGAACACTATAGTTTCAAATTAAACTTCAAAATTAACAATTACTACGTGATAACAATTACTTAATAAGATAAAACCAAAAAGCCCCAAACTTTCTGCATGATTATTTTTAATTTTTACGCATGTTATGTTCTTTAAAATCAAAGAAGCGATTGTCATACATTACTAACATCTACAGATGCATGAGCAATACATTTATTTTTATTAGATTGTATCAAAAAAGCCTCATCTATTTTTCTTTTAGAGGCTATATCGCTTCTTTCATTATAATTTTGCCGTTACTAAAACTTATTCTGTGCCCTGTGTCCCATGAGTCCTGACAAATCTTAGATTTGTGAAAATCTCCCTTTCTTAAATAATCTTTATGTTCTTTAATTATTTTTTTTTGTTATTTAATTTAATTAAGTAATTGCTATCAGGTAGTAATAAATTGTTAATTTTGGAGTTTAACTTGATATAATGTCATTTTAACACAACGTCAACGGTTTTTGTAGACGTATCTGTTTTAAAAAACTAAAGTGTCCTCGAATAGTTGAATTTAAATATTTTAAAAAGTTTTTGGTTTATTCTTTGTATTTTTTTTGCTTCCGACGACGGAAAGAGATAAACTTATACTTTAAGCATTTTTTTGTTCGTTAGGCAAATTTGTATATTTGTAAACCTAACTTCTGACAAGTAGTTTCCGTTTGGATTAACCCGGAAGTGTTTAAAAAAAATAACTATTTTATTTTGTAGATTTTCTTGCAGTGGCGAATACATAGGTATAGACATTTTTAATTATTCCTAATAATTCAAAAGTAGTATTTCTAATATTTATAATAACTTGTGTTCAACATAAAAACACTAATATACATAAACAGTTTCTTCAATACAAGTTTCTTAAATTTATTGCCGACCAAACAAGCAAAATCACAATAGCGAACTATTTTAATCATTAGGGAAAAATAAATAACCTCTTCCTGTAACTTCCTTCAAAAATCATCTCTAACCAACACAAAACGTATAAATGTATATGTATAATGAAGAATAATATATCAACAATAACCATAAAGACACCAAACAGCCCTGAACACAGAAACGTAAATAAAAGTCTAGAAATGAAAACTGGCATGCTAAAAAGCGGTGGATGATCTTACTTAAGACGGTACCTCTTTTGATCCTGTCGCAAGTGTTGTAGTTCGAACCCGGTACAGGGGGTAGTTTTCTGTTTGGTGGTGCAATGTAGCCTAGTTCATCCCTTAAGTCAGGTCGGCGTTTGTCTAAGGTTGACGCTGCGTTGCACGATTGGTTGTAAACAACGTCATCTGGGGAAAAATAATGTGGAGTTAGTTAGATAAGGATGAAGAGTTGACAGTTTAGTGACATGAGTATTCATGGGTAATGCTTGTACTGATATATATATATATATATATATATATATATATATATATATATATATATATATATATATATATATATATATATATATATATATATATATATATATATATATATATATATATATATATATATATATATATATATATTTAAGTAAAAAATTGGTTAAGTGCGAGTCGGACTCGGGTACGAAGGGTTCCGTATCATTCATTATCTATACAACATTAGATACTATATTATTATAAACTTTTTTTCCGATTTAGCTGAAATTTTGAATGCTCGTATAAGTAATTTAAAAAAAAATGAAGAAACACGTTACTAAAAATTGTATTAATCGATAATAAATATGTAAAAAGTAAAAATAAATATGTAAAAACATGTAAAAATTAAAAAAAATCGCCTTGACTAAGATTCGAACCTGCCTTACTATGGCTCCAACGTCATAGCAGCGTAAAGTCCTAACGCTTTAACCACGCGGCCACCGAGAACTTAAAAGATTTTATGTAAAATTCTTACTTAAACGATAATGTTTAGTGAAAGTACATTTTTATTTATAAACATTTATTTAATTCTGTTTTTAGTATTTATTCTTATGGCGGCAACATAGATACATTATCTGTAAAAATTTCAACTGTCTAGCTATAACGGTTCATAAGATAGACCTCTGTGACGGACGTACGGACGGACAGCGAAGTTTTAGTAATAGCCTTGTATATGAATTTTTAAAGTAGCTCAACCTAAGACGTTTATGGATGTAAAGTACCAGATGGCGGGGCGTATTTCACAGTCTTTTACTAGAGAAAAATATTTTTTGTTACTCTGAATTTTGAAGCGGCCAATAAAAACAGAGAAAATAAAAATCGATAATTTTCGGACTGTGCCAATTAGTTACTAATCGACCAGATACTTTTTGTCTATTAGATATGCTATAAAAGCTGGTAATTATACAATTCGACCATTGTAAATACCCGACAAATTCCCAAGGCCGACGAGGTCGATGTTTTTCACTGATAAGAAAAAAAAATGTTTGTTTAGATAATTTTCGAGATATTTTTTCTTTCTGAATGCACATTTTAAAGTATTTTATATTCTTTGTCCGCTTGATCTATTATACTGGTCGCACGTATCGAAGTTTTATTTCTTGTAGTTTTAAAATATTTTCTTGTTTCTTTGTAGTTGTAATGTAAAATTAGATTAATTTATTAAGTTTGATTATAATGTTTAGTGTAGACTACCAGAAGAAATTTAGTAGTGTTTTTATATTTTATTTTGAAGTTAAGTAGTAGGTGAAGGGGTAATTTGGTTAATTTTTCTTTATGTTTGATTAATTAATAAGTTTGATAATTTGTTTAGTGTAGAATACAAGAAGTAGTTTGTGTAGTGTTCTTGTAAGAGATTATATTCATTTATTTTGTAGTTGAGTAGAAGGTGAAGGTATTTGGGTATTTTTTTCTTTTTGTTTTTCTTCTAATAATTATTGTAGTAGTTCTTTTAAATATTGTGATAGATACATTATAATCTTCCTTCTACTTTTCTGGTAGTTGAATATACGAAAAAAATCTGATCAAATTTATTTTAAATGAAATTAATCTAGTCTTATTAATTAATCAAATTAAACTAGTCAAATAATATTAATTGCAATCAATTATTAAAAAATATTAATTATTTTGGAAAATAACTTTTGAAATGGAGTATTATTGATAAAATTTAGCCAATTTTTTTTACCCAGTAGCGTATTTCAATATGATCTTATCATTTATCACTGTATAATAACTTTGTTGTGGCAGAAAAATATACCAGTTAGTTTCAAAATATTATTTTTTTTTCAAACGTCACAAAAGTATTAATTTTTGCGACGTGATTGACAATATAAAAAAGTCATTTTAACGCCTAGGCATAAAAGTAAAGCACTTTACGCCTAAGCATAAAAGTATGAAAATATATTATTAAAATGACATAAGTCTCAAATTCAACGAGCCGTAACCATAGTTTCTCGATATATAATTACTCATGGTACAAAGAAAACTTGAAAACAAGGTATGGTCGATAGCGTCTCCAATTTCGTTCAGTTTGCGCATATCGCCTGTGACGTCATATGCCATACAACAAAATATCCGTATTGTTCAATTGCCACTAATAAAAAAAGACCTAAAATAGGGAAGAATTAAATAACCCCTAAAGTTATGTAAAATCATCGAGCTGGACATTTGAAAAGTTATGACACATTATACACATTTATTATGTGTCATCTGTTTGAAAATTTGAAATTGGCGCGTGGAGCTTGCCGACCAATATTGCCGTTTATCACCTGTGACGTGGTGACCAACCTGCGCAAATCATACCTTGTTTTTTTTGTATCATGATAATTACTTACAAGGTATGAGTTTTAAATATTTTATATTATTTGGAACGTTTGAAATTGTTTAAAACATTATTTGTGGCGTTTGAAAAATAGCATATTTTCTATTCGAGTAAAATGACTTTTGTGCTTCGGCTGTATGTCAAACATACAGTATCGCCACGAAAAGTGTCATTTTTACTCCTAATAAAACAATATACTAGAAAGTTTTATGGTTTAACGGGCTTTGTGAGTTAAAACATAATGATATTTTCAGTTTTTATAATTCTTGATCGAAAATAAACGGCGTCAGCGATGGCTATGAAATGAAGATCGCTGTCATTTTATATGTAAATTTATGTGGGAAATGTCGTCGATCGTCATTTCCCTGCCAACTGGACGCCGTTTTTTTTTTCATATGGTACAAAGTTAAAGCAAACTTGACTCTGACCATGTTTTACGCTAACAAAGATTTATTTCGTGTAATAAAGATTTAAATGGTGTATTAAGTACACAATATTTATTTAAATGTCAAATAATATTATTGAAACAAGTGCCAAGTTTTATTTTTAATTAAGAAAAAAATTGTATAAACGTTTTGTTTTCAAAAAAAATTATCTTAAATTCGTAAAACCTCAATTTAGAATAAAATGATCGAAGAATGAAATAAAATTTTATAGCCCTGGGTCAAATTGAAATAAAGTAAGTGTATGTAACTTTTTTTAAATATTAATAATTACCAGTAATTAGCATTAATGTACCAACATATTGAAAATTGTTATTTCTTTGTTAAATACGGCTTAGAATCCTTAAAATAACAGCAAAAATAATCGAAAATCAACAATGAAATAATAGTTTTGTTTAAATTTCTTAATCAGCTGAGCCCTATTATAGTTCCCAAAAATCCGAGCTATATTATTACATTACTCTGAGGGAAATACCGCAAATAATCGATATTTTTGACTCCGCCCCTAATCACATGCTTCATTCTTTTAAAGCTTTACGATTTGTTCACCAGAGGCAGCACATTTTGTCGAGAGGTTGACCAACTTTAAGAATATATAAACAAGGGTAATAGGGTCCCCGTTTTTACCCTTTGGGTACGGAACCCTAAAAAGACATGTAAGTTTCGTAAAAAATAAAAAATAATATAATTATAAATTAGTGATAAATTTTGTTTTTTCTTTTAGCTGTTGAATTTAGTTTCGTTTTTCTCATAACTTGAAATGTAGAAGATAAACTTGATATTTAAAGTGTACATATCAGTTTTTCAGATATTCTAGATCGGGAACTACTACAATAATGTGTACATATTTTTAACCTTCTTGATATTGAGCCTAATACACAGTTTAGTTAAATTTTAAAAACATTTAGTAAAATCTCATTTAAGTAAATTAAAGAATGGTGAATCATACCATATAGAGTTGCGTCATTCAAAAAGCAGATATAAATATATATCTCGTAATAGTTCTAAATCATGTCACTAAAATATCATTTACAAAAATATGAAGAATGGGTTTCATGAAAACATAAAAATAAAAAATAAGAAAGAAAATCTTCGATTGGTAATTTCTGTCCATTAGTTACAAGTCTTGATATATTTCGTCTTCCATCTTGGATTCTGTTTAGTTCTTCTACTCCATGGTGAGAGTATTTTTCTTTTGGGCTTGGGAAGTGCGAGTTAAAACAGTTTCTTTTAAAAGTATCAAATTTAGGTATATTTGTTAATCAAATCGTTAACAGAAATATACTTCTGAACAGTACGAAAATTTTTAGTTTGTTTTTAGTTATACATTAAATATTTATTGTAAAATATCCATCACTCTGTAATAGTAGCCAAAACTTTGAAAACGTAGATATCTCTGATGAAGAAAGGAAATCTCTATATGCCGTGAATACAACAATCAAAAGAAAAATAATTTTCGCTTTCAATTTTTTTTTAAATATCAAACTTATCTATATTTACATTTATTCTACTGATTATTTTAGATTATTTATTTATTTATTATTACAATAGTCATTATATCATTTTGCGGACGACAATAGCTTCACTTGGAGCAACAATGACGTCACGGCACTTCACAAGATTATATCAACTATACATGACTTAATCACCATTAAATCTTGGTACGATTCAAACCTCCTGAGTCTCAAGATTTCTAAAACTAAAGCTTTGTCGTATAAAAACTCGCTGCAGCCTTTTGTACTTAACAACACCACCATTGACGTCGTAAATTCTGTAAAATTCTTAGGGCTTGTTGTAGACAATTCTCTGAAATGGAACATGCATATCGTCGCTTTGTCGAAAAAAATTAAGCTCTGCCTGTTTTGCATTACGATCTGTTTCTAAGGAGCTTAACTTGTCAGTGGCTAGAACTGCTTATTATCCACTTTTTGAGTCGCACCTCATATATGCCCTTCCATTCTGGGGTACGTGTTGTGCAACTCAATTTGATCGCATTTTCAAGCTCCAGAAGAGAGCTGTTCGATATTCACTGGGACTAAACAGCAGAACTCATTGCCAGGCCTTTTTTAAAAAATTAAAAATATTAACTCTTCCTTCCTTATTTATGTTTGAATCCGTTTGCCTAATACGTAAGCATGTATCAGCTTCTCAAGAAAGGCCATCTCACACTTATCCACTCAGGAACGCGGATCAAGATCTTTAACTACCTACCCCACGCTCAGAGTTAGTGTAAAGTTCAATATTATACAACTCAAAAAAAATGCACAATCACCTGCCATTTGAAATCAAATCCATAACATCATTTTCTTCATTTCGCAAAGCATTGAAATCTTATTTACTAGACAAGGCTTTCTACGCTGTAAATGACTTATATTTTGATAATCGAATTTGATCTTGTAAACACTGGTCTAATATTTGCTATTACTATATTTACCAATTACATCGAAATAAATTTATCTAGAGGTCATTTACTATAAACTTACTAAATATTTTTGAATCTTATTTTTATTTTTTTATTGTTTGACACTGTAAACATTTATAAATGTTTATTTTAAACAATAAGACAATGTTATTTGTATAATATTTTGTATTCTCTTTTGTTTGTTTGTTTACTTTACCTTTATCTACAAATTGTAAAATTTTTTGACAATAAAGGCATTTATTTATAAAAAAATTGAAGAGGTTAATTTATAATTAATTCTTATACTATGATACTTGATACTGTTATTAAAAAACTGTTTTAACTGGCAATAATAACAATGAGATGCAAATAAATCTCGCCCATACACATACAGTCGCTCCTCAATCTCGTCTGCAGCGGCCCGTGCGCCTTGCGCGACAACGCCACGCACACCACCACAATTCCCACCACCACAACAACCACCGTGGCCGCCACCGGAACCGCTATGTTCCACTCCACCCAGTCGGGGATCCACGGGAACAGCATCCTCACCCCGGGCAAATCCCTAGCCGGCGCCACCGTACCTGCGGACAGAAAGAACAGAGGGCGCTGCAGTGCGGCGCGTTACCTTTGTTATAGGTTCCCTTGCCGCGCAACACGCAAATCACGACTACGGCCACGACAATGATGAGGGCCGCGGCCACTACGGGTACTACTAGGTTTAGGTTGGCGAGGATTATTTGGATGGTGTCCTCTTTAGGTATTTCGCGGGCCGGGGCAATAGTACCTGAAACCGAAAAAACAAAGGGGCTGTTCTCAGGGAGGTCTGTGTGCTCTATCTCGGTTTTTATTAGGAAGTGAAGAGGTCTGGGAGGGCTCACAAATTATTACAAAAAAAGGAAAAGGTAGGGAGGTATCTTAGATCGTATAAACGTGGATATACACCTGAACCACGGCATATAAATCAATCGGCAGGCTAACTCGCTTTGGTGGGAACGCTACGCGCATATCCTCGCGCACGCCGCCATTTTCGTTTCCATCAAGAGAAAGTAACCAGTGTCGTAGTTTTTTTCAGCGACAACACACATCAGTTACGGCAAATTCGAGTCAGTAGCGTGCGGTTTAATTTATTTTGATTTTTTCTTGAGTGATATATTTTGATTTTGTTGTTTTATTTTTGTTTATTATGTGATATATTTGGTTTTTCTAGTTTTATTTTCGTTTCTTATGTAATATAATTTGTTTTAGTAGTTTTATTTTTGTTGTTCAATAAAAGTTTCTTTCTGTTTCCTAGAGATCCTATTAGGTATGTATATATATGTGATTAATTATTTTAACATATTTTAGTTGTGAAAAAAACAGTAGTATACATATTAGGACATTCAGCTAAATAGGAAGATCTAATTAAAAATCTTAACAAACTTTAACATTAGTAACATTTAATGTTAAAGATTTAGTAAAATTTAATGTTGTATCTAGACATTAAAAATTAAATTTAAAAATCATTATATTATTAATTTAAATATAATTATAAAAGTAAATAAAATGAGTATATCGAAAATAAGTTAACAAATACATTTTTAGGGCAAGAACATGGGCAATTGCAGCTAATAGAGAAGACTTGATTGAAGATATAAATAAGGCCCACAAAAGGTACAGGTTGTGTTCTGTTCATTTTGAATTTAAAATGTTTACCAATTCACTTTGTAACCGTATAAAATACAATGCGGTACCTACTTTGTTTTGTCTTTGTGCCATGAAAAAATAGAAGTTTCTCAAAAAAAATTGTGGATTTGTTAATTTGTGAAATTTGAATATTAATAAAATTTGCTACGCCTATTGATGGGCATAATTAGTAGACAGTAGTTAGTATTTGACATAAATTAGGATTGATTGACGCATTCAATTGTTTTTGGTCACTTCCTGTTTCACCGGAAATGACTATAACTATTGATTTTTAAATAGCACCCTCGGTATATTTCTACTTTATTCGATAGAAAATGACACTGTGAATAGAATGACATATCATATATGTCAACTTTTGACATTTTCGCATATGGTTTAATTGAAATTATAACACGCGGTTCATAACGACAATTTGACTCGAAATACCAAGTGTGTGGTATCAATATATTCATAAAAAAATGCTTTTTCCAAATATGTTAATCGGTAACTCTTGTTTCATTTGAAAAATTTGACATATTATGATTAAAAATACGATTTGTGTATCTTTTAACCGGCCTAGACAAGACACAAAAAACATTAGACGATCAAAACTATTTTTCCTAGACTGCTTGATTAAAACTTAGTGTTTTTAACACCGCCATGACACCCTGGATTGAAATTTAAAATACGAAAATCTGTTTCTCATTTATTATATCTCTATATAAAAAAAAACATCACATTAGGTCTGTAGTTTCATATTTGATGATATATGCACCGAAATACTGTGCAGTAATGATATTTTAGCTATATTTAAATCTTGTCCGTAGAACATGGGGAGACCTAATATACGAGAGAGACAATAATAATACAAGTTTTTTACGTAAAAATTAACAAATATAATTATAGACATATATCCACGTTGCATCATACGATCTAGGAAAGGGAATATTGGTAAATATTCGTTTGTATGATTTTGTTCTGTTGGTGTAAATCAATATTTGTAATAATTAATTTTTCTCTTGAAGTTTAATAAATCTTACTCAAGTATCAATATTGGAGATTAATAATACCTTATAATTAATAATATCAGCATCATAGCTGATGTATAATCATTCTGAATTTAGATTTTTTAGTTTTTTTTTCATATCTCCCATAGTTAATTGTATAAATTTTAGTACTTAGTGCTCACTGCAAAATATATTAAATTCACACATATTTATTATACAGATTCTTAAATTTACATAAATTAATAAGAAAACAATTATATTTTATTGCTTTATGGACTATTAAACGTATATTTTGGTTTATAAAAAATATATTTGACATCTCAAGCTGACAGAAAATACAATTACAAAAGACACTGTTGTGCTTTACATCAATGAATGTGACAAAGCAATTGACGAAAACAAATTAAAGACAATGACAAATGATTTAATGCCACAATGAACCAAGGTTTTAAGTAACGGCTTAGATTAGTAAAGTTAGTAGAAATTTAATGAAGGATAAGTATCAATATGATCTGCAGCAACTGATATTGATAAAGGATGTGATATTTGGGACACATTCCTAGGACATATGTTGGTTCTGAAATACTGGTACTGGTTGAGGATACTAAGTTATGATAACAATGCTAACTACACTTCTAATAACAAAATATTTTATGCACAAAACACTGGTTTATCAAATATTACGATGATTTTCGTTTCTTTATCAATATCTATTAAAAACAACTCCATTTACTCTTAACTCAACTAATGTTCCATCTACAGCTAAATATAACATAACATGACTAGATAATCTCTATGAGCAAAAGAAAGAGTAAAAACCAAAGTTTTTATCAGTACTACTAAAATGAGAAGAAAAAAGAACTCCTAACTTGAACTTTGTTATTAAATAATTAACTTTGTTATATGATATGAAAGGTAAGACTTAAAGAATAATTCTAAAGTACCTTTCTTTGTTGTCAAAATTGTATTGAAAAAAATATAATTTAACACTAAAAAGTCATTAAAAATATGTTTAAATTGTGAGATAAATGTATTGTTAAAAAAATAAATAAATAAAAAACGCATTATAGGTACATAATTAAAGATTGTATGATACTTATTTTACTTATATACATACATTTTATATAATTACTACAAAATACAACTTATTCCATGCAAACAATGGCAAACTTTAAAACCATACACCAAAATACAGGGTGGTCCGAACTGTACTCCGTAAACTTCGGCAGCATATTCTGCAGATAAAAATAAGTAAAAAAGTTCGTATAAATGTATGTCCTAAAGTGCTTAGTTTCAGAGATACAGGGTGTAGAAGTTTCATTTTTATTTCGATTTTTTCAAAATAATTTCTGAAGTAACGTCAATATTTGGAATTCCAAGAGTTTTTTGATATGAGAAATTTGGTTTTGATGTCAATATGACTCCTACTGGTAGAGGGCGCCACCTACATATGTTTTAACTGTTTTGAAGAGTAATAACGAAAAGTTGTCCGTACCTGTATAAAACTACAGAGGGAAAAAATCTTTAAAAAAAATCTAAAAAACATCTTTGCGACTTTTTACGCAAAAAATATCTCTTTTAATCTCTCTTCTCTCTCTAATTTAAATCATAAATTTTTCTGCAAAAAAATGATGATAAAACAGTTTCTGTTGAACTTTTGCCACAAAAACTCTCAAATTTATGATCTCTCTAATAACTATTTAGTCAACAGGTTTAATTTATGTCAATGATGACAGGTATTGTTGTAATATATGTTTTATTTGTAATTTTATGACGTAATTTTTTTTTTGAATTGATTTGTAATGTATGACATTCTTTTTTATTATTTGTATATTTGTTTTTGTGCTTTTTTTGTTTTGCTTTGTCGATGAAGCTGTTTTGGCTTTTTGTACAATAAAGCGTTGTTTTTTTTTTATTGATAATTTCGATTCCAAATATCTCGAAAACCAATACTCGTTGCGATTTTTACCAAGAGACATTTTTTACGTAGAAGACGTCACAAATGTATATTTTTTTACTCAGTAGTTTTATACAGGTGCGGACGAAAAGTTATTACACTTCAACCAGTTAAAAACTATGTAGGTGGCGCCCTCTACTAGTAGGAGTCATATTGACATCAAAATCAAATTTCTCATGTCAAAAAACTCCCAGACACCAATTTTCATCCAAATATTGACGTTACTGCGGAAATTATTTGGAAAAAATCGAAATAAAAATGAAACTTCTACACCCTGTATATCCGAAACTAAGCATTTTAGGACATACATTTATACGAACTTTTTTACTTATTTTGATCTGCAGAATATGCTGCCGAAGTTTCCGGAATACAATTCGGACCACCCTGTATATTAAACACAGATATTTCAGTGTGGCACAGAAATAAAATTTAAAAAAAAATCACAAAAATTGGACAACAAAAAACGGCATGTTTTCATTTGAAAATAATATTTTGTACAGAAAACAACCAGTACAATGAGACAGAACACATATAGGAAGAAGGTTTTGTTAATTTAGGAGATAGTGACATAAATGATATGTGTGTTTTGGCTGTGTTAGTTTTTCTTTGCGCAAAAATTGAACAGAACCAAACGTTATGATTTTTTGTATTTTCAGGTACTATTGCTTGGTGACAAGATGTTGAACGAGGCAAAGAAATATTACAATTAGTTATAAAAACGCATAAAAAGCAGTTTTACTCAAACAAAATCTATGTACATGACGGTGAATAATGACTTTAAAAACAAGTGAGATGCAAATAGAACAAAAAAAAATAATATAAAAAGAAAAAAATTAAAAAACTAACAAAACTAATAAAATACAAACACTAAACAAAAAAATTAAAGGAACAAGAACATAAGCGTGTGTTTTCTGTACAAAGCGTGATGGGAGTATGTGTGTATATGTTTCTGTGGGCCTAATTCTCTATAATATTGAGCACTAAGTATTGTTTCTAATATTGAAGCGGTATATACGTATTAGGTTTTCTTTGTATTGTTGTGGTTTCAGGATAGATTGTTAGCATTCAAGGAGCTGTGGTTTTTCTAAGATATTATTAAAAAATATTCACCTAAGAAATAAACAAACTTCAGGCTAAAAATAATTATTAATATATCTTTTATAAAAAAAACTAGCTGACACAGCTAATTTTGAACGAAGTGAGAATTGTTGTCAATATCGTGGTACGATTAACCGAATGATTGAGACCAATCAATTTGACAGTTGTTGTCATTTTTCTGTATATTTTTGTTTGCATTTCGATCAAGTATTTTCTATATATTTTATATCTTTCTAAATTTAAATGTGCTATTAACTTATTTCTATGTTCGGACACAAAAAAAATAAAAATTGGTTTTTATAAAATACAAAAAAATATATTTTTTAACCTAACGTTTGTTTATTAAAATAAGTTAAAAATTGATTATTTTTGCATTCTAAAGTAATTTAGAAAAACCAAATCTTGTTGGGAATTCTATCGACAGTTCTTTTTCCTATGGGAAACAAAATAATCAACGGAACAAAATCATACAAACGCAAAATGAGCAAGCGAATAACGGCATGACAAAAATAAAAACTTAAAATAAATGTAGGATGTAGTATGTATGTACACAATCTTACCGCCAGTGACTGTAAGGGTGGCAAACTCGTACTCGGCAACGTTAAAACCGGCATTGTTGTGGGCCGTTACTCTTAAGTGGTACCAAACGGCAGGATCCAAGTCTAAAAGTACGAAGTTCAAACCTGGTTTGACGTTGTTGGATACCTGAATCCATTCAGTGTTCACTCTGAAACATTATGGTCATATAATTAAACTTTTTTAATTGATATTTGCGTTATAAGTTCGTTAAAATCTCCCCAAAACTAAAATTTCAGGTATTTTGGCGCACAGGCTTTGAAGAATTTTTGAAGAAAATCGAAAAGTAGAATACCTAACTCTCGTTTTTAATAGATTTAGAAACAATCTACTAATATTTTATGATGAAAATGGTTAAGCAGTTTAAAATGTTATATCTAAATAACATAATCTAGCTTTATATGATACACATTTGTTTATTTTTAAAAAAAGTCTTACTTCTTTTTGTGCTCGATAACGAAGTACAGCATAGGACATCCCCCATCAGACCAAGCATTGAGATGCAAAGTTATGCTGTTAGAAGACACTTCAATAAACTTATCAGCACTAGGTATCACTGGCTTTTCACCCCTAGTTTTAGGATTCAAATTGTCCGATTGATCCCCAGTTCCAATGCTAAAAGAAACAAATTTATATTTAAAATATTTTTTATTCATTATGCATTCGTTATAGAGAACTTAACTCACCTATTGTAAGCAGTGACGTATAATTGATATCTGGTACCACAGAGTAGTTTTTCCAGAGTATATTTGTCGGTGGCTGGGCCAACTTGTACTGTTTCCCATTCACCAAATTCGGGCTTGTAATGGATGGTGTATCCGTGAACTTGTTCACCATCAGATTCGTGAGGCTTGATTTTTATGGTTAAGGAATTTGTGGTCGTTGATGTAAGAGTAACCTAAAATACAATTGTTTTGGTTAGGTATTTTTCCCTATTATAATAATTATGCCACCTTATATTTGATGTATTATCAGTATAATAATTGAGCTCAACAAAGAAAAATGTCCATATAAACGTTAAAAACAAATTAAATGTATATCAATGTAGTTCAATAATCTGGCATAGGTACATATATTGATACAACCATAAATAAGATAGGATCTTTGAATAAGAAGACTAAAGAAGGAGCATAATGCTATCCATGTATTCATGCATAGTGGGCGGAAAAAGCACTCTAGGGTGGGGATCCTTGACAGTTCTGTTTGACGATTCATTTGACACATTTGAATTTGATTTGAAATTTTGTGGATTTGTCAGTCTTTACGGAGCTTATTTTATGTTATTTATTAATTATTCTACTACTGATAGTTGTATAAAGGTAGTAAATCTAGATGGAAATTGTGGTAGAACTTAAATTAACAGTGACACTATCGCGATTTATCGAAAAAGACTCTAAAATAGTTGGTTGTGTAGCGTGCGGTAGATCTCGGCAAAAATTGAGTGAAATAATGGAACAACTTTTCGCTAGTAAGTGACTATGTAATATACATACGTGCAGTAAACCGATCATTTATGAAATTCACTTAAATTAACTAAATTATATATTTTTCTTGCATTTTAGCTTTTATTTATTACTTGTCAAAGATTAGATGTCAAAGAATTTAGATACGTTAATTTGACTTACCTGCTTCAGTAGCGTATCGGATGTTTGTGTTAATAAATACTTATTATAACTTATCTATTTTTATTAGAATTATATATTTTTATAACAATTTTAATAACTACCAACATTTATTCACAACGTAAAATAAAACAACAAATTATTGAGTCTACCCCACGTCTACTCTACATCATAGTTTTACATTTTTTAAATAAAATTAGAACGACACTGATAAACCGGAATTTAAGTCGGCCATATTTGAGGCCTATCGCGGTATACCTAAGATTTTTGATATGCTCCTTCCTTAGTCTTCTTATTCAAAGGATACGATAGAAAGTTAAATGTAAACAATAATAAATATATTTCATCACTTGTGTTAAAGTAAATATAAAAATATACACTTTTAATATTTGCGTTACCTGTGGTGCTCTTGGTGGTGCATTAACAATAAGCTGATGCGTTACAGAATCCTGACCAAAATCGTTCTCCACTTTGCAAGAGTACTCTCCAGCATCCGTTCTAGTCACATCTCGTATAAATAATGAACCATCTGGTTGCTGGCGTACTCTGTCGTTGGTATTAGGATTAAATTTCACACCTTTGATACTCCAAGTGATAACTGGAGGAGGAACACCTACAGCTAGGCATGGTAAAGTGACGTCTTCTTTGTAAGTTGTCGTAAAAGTGTCATCAAAGGAAGCGGTCTTGGCAGGAACTAAAAAAGATATTAATATAAAGCACCCAATACTTTACTAAATCATAATATCGACTTACCACTTGTGCTAGGCGATACAGTAACTTTCTTAGAGGGTTGTCCTTCTCCAATAGTTGTAGCAGCCGTCACCCAGAACTCGTACTTCAAATTACTGTCTAAATTCTTGGCCTGGAAGCTCAAATTCTGGTTCCTAAGGTTAGGCACAATCTTCTGCGACTTGATCAGCTTCTCGTCCGAATCTGTAGCAACTTTGTAGTACACCATGTAGTATTCGATGATACCGTTAGGCTCAGTTGGAGGCTTCCAGCTAACCAAAATAGCGTCGGCAGACATTACCAGAGCTTTCACAGCTGTAGGAGATTCAGGAACTACAAAAAGTTCATGTTAGTTCTAATATGTTTAAAAAAAATGTAATATAAAATACCATCTTGTTCAGTTTGACAGGCAATTGGGGTAGTTCTGACGCCATCTCCTCCAGACGTGTATGATAGTACTTCCATACTGTAGTTAGTATATTTCTTTAAACCATGTAAAATAGTTTCACTTGATGCAGTAATTTTGGTATCTTTAGTATTCTCGTCTAAAACAAACAATCATCAGCAAAGATAGACAAAAATAATCAAAACTCTGAGAATCCTAATTTACCAAACCAAGTATCAGAAGGTCCATAAATAACTTTGTATCCTTTAATAACACCATTAGCAGAGGTGAGAGGAGGTGACACCCATGAAACTCTGATAGTCTGAGCAGTAAGAGTGGTGCACGTAGCCTTGTCTGGAGGTTGCTCAGGTACACCTTCGGCAGTATTAGCCTTGAATTCTTCTGATGTTGGTCCAGCACCAACCTTGTTGAAAGCCTGAACTACTACTGAATACTGAGTGTACGTTTTCAGGTTAGAAATCTAAAAGAACATAATGTTAAGAGTTATTTAGGGGTTTACTAAAGTTTAACTGGTACTTTTAGGAGATGTTCTTTTCCTTCTTCCTCTCTGGGAAACTCGACAGTCTCAAACAAGTAAGGCTTGTCAGTATTGGCTAGCTTATATCCTACGTAATACCCCTGGATATCACCGTTCCAATGATCCCTGATTGGAGGTTTCCAGTAAACGATCAAAGTATGTTGGTCTTCAGCTTCAACCCTGATATCAGTTGGTGGACCTCCTGGGACTTCTTCAGCTGTGATAATAGTTACAGTATCTGATGGATCAGATGATCCAATCTCGTTTTCAGCTATAATACGGATATGATATGTCGTCGCAGGTCTCAAAGTAAAGATTCCAGCTTCAGTCTGTTCCCCGGGAATCAAAACTCGCTCAGAATTCTTCTCCCAACTGCCTTTGCTTGGTTTGTACTCGATTAAGTACCTAAAAAGTATCGTATTTTACAATCTAACTTGTTAAATGAATACAGGATGTTTAAATTTACTTCTTGATTGGTGAATTGCCGTCATAAGGAGCTACCCAAGAAAGTTGAACGGTTTTTCCAGACTTGTCCAGGACTTTCAAGCCGTAAGGTACTTCGGGTACTTCTTGCACGATCATGTTGATGTTTGTTTCGTCGTTTCCAAAAGCGTTGGTGGCTTCGCAGGTGAATATCGCTGAGTCGGATCTTTCTGTTCGTTTAATACTTAAATCGGATAGAACACCTAAGAAAGTAGAAAATAATATTTGAGTAAAAAATTATATGATATGTAGAAATATGAATAAATATAATTAGACAAGCTTTGAAAATGGCATAAATGAACAACTGGGCTATCTGTAATTTTGGAAATTTAAAAAACGACTATAAAAGAGAGGAATTTAATTTTTTGGGGGGAAATTTATAATAATAAGTAGATTCTTTTAAAAAAAATTGTATGATGGCTACTACTATCTTTTAAATATGTAAAAATATTTTTTTTTCAAACGCATAAACACAAAAGTATTAATTTTTGCGATGTGTTGACAATGGTTGACAATATTAAAAAGTAATTTTAATGCCTAGGCATAAAAGTAAAACACTTTTACGCCTAAGCACAAAAATACGAAAATATAAAAACTGACATAGAGTGTCAAATTCAACGAAGGTAACCATAGTTTCTCGATATAATTACTTTACAAGGTACATATATTATATTACAAGGTATCATCTTATATTTAAATCTTTTTATATTATTTGGAATTTTGAAATGGTTTAAAAAATTATATGTGACTCGCCACAAATAAGTTTTACCCCTAATATAGTCTATAAAATGAATAACTTTGAATTTTGACCGTTATTTTTTACCAACATGGCAAATATAAAATCCATCTATCAAAAAAGTTACTGATTATCTTTAAATTGAGTGCTTGAACGTATCAGATAGGTAACTCTTTTTACTTTCGTGAAATAGAAAAGGAAAATAATAAAACAAGTGATAGTTCTTCCTTTTCTTGCTAAAATCAACACGAAATGTCATAATTGTCAAAAGTAAAATGTCATCGGCTTTTGACATTTCTAAATATCAGACCATTGCCGTCTCTAAGAGAACAGCCTCGGAGCGAGATTTATGACGTCACCCTAGTTAGATACTACGGATTAATAAATATGTTGTAGAATACATGGAAAACATAATTATTTCTCGTATTTTTGGTTTGTATTTTAAAAATGATATAGTTTACATGAAATATACATAATATACAGTTAATAAATACAATATATATATACCTATTTATAGTAATAAATACTTTGGCAAATAAACTATGAACCATACAAATGCAGCAAATGTTTTTCAATATACAAATAATGAATAGGTACAGCTGGTTCCAAAAAAAATTAATACGACTCTTTGCACATTTTTTTCGAATATTTGAGCAGTGTATACTTATGTGTCAAGTATTTTGACATGTTAAGTTTATTGTGACATTGAATAAAAGAACTTTGCTTTTGACAAAATGGCAAATAAATTTTTCAGAATGTCAGTATGACATGAGTAGAGAAATGGGGGACTGGTATCGTAGAATATACTGCCCGAAATAATAAAAATATGTTTTAAATCGTATTCAATTTTATTGGAACCAGCTGTACATAAGATAATGAGTAAAATGTAAAATATATTTTAAATTTTGGGGTTTGAAAATCGATCTAATTTAACAAAAAACATTCAATATCTACTAATAGTGATGTAATATTATTTGCATTCACAAAATTTATATATATATTTTGTTCGAAAAATTATATTTGAAAATAATACAATATAGAAAACAAGGCGTCAGCGATGGCTACGAAATAAAGATCGCTGTCATTTTATATGTAAAATTATTCTAAAATTACTGATTTTCTTGGGATTTAGGTTCGGGAAAAACGCTGATTAAGTTTTCATTTGGTTTTTAATTTTTTTTTTGTTAAAAAAAACGTTTCGGTTAATATTATAGCCTTCATTAGTGTGTCATATAAAAAAATAGTGTCGAATATAATCCAAAAAATTACCTATAAAATATTCACACCACACACCACATAATGTTTTCTGCAATTAATTAACTAATATAAACTTGTCAAAAGATGACCACATATTTTTTTAAATTATTATTCTTAACACTTAAACTATCTACATTGAATATGGAGTACGATTTCAGCCATAGTCAATGTACTAACTGTATATTATGTATATGTCATGTAAACTATATGATTTTTAAAATACAAACCAAAAATACGAGGAATAATTATGATTTCCATGTATTCTACAACATAGTTATTAATCCGTAGTATCTAACTAGCGTTACGTCAGAAATCTCGCTCCGAGGCTGTTCTATTAGAGACGGCATTGCGTCAGCATGGCCGCAAGTTGCTAACCTAATAAAATTAGCACCAAGCACTAGAAAAACCATATACGTATTACTTTTTACAAATATACTCAGGGTTCCCTATTTAACCCCGTGTGCAATTTCTGTGCCGTAAGAAAAAGACAACATAACCCAGCTCCATATTAAAACTGCATAAGTCTATTTCACCCGGATATGGATTGAACTGCGATTGCGCCAAACTCCGATTGATTGTTGTTTTAGTTCTGTTTGGATTACTTTTTATTTGTGCGCGTAAAAGAGTGATTTTGTTTAGTTTATTGTTTCCAACTATTTTTTGATATTTTTCCAACTCCATGATAATGTGTTATAAATAATAAAAATATAAATAAAATTGAAGGTTAGGGGAAATGTCAGTAACCACTTCCCTTTAAAAACATCGACCAATGAAAACTTCTTCAGGTGAGGCATGCTCAGTTAAATGAATATCCGGGTGAAATAGACTTATCCAGAATTCCATATTGTTCTTTCACTGTTTGGACTTCACTTTTTGGAGATTAGGCTGAGTATATTTGTAAAAAGTAATACGTATATGAGAAAAACCCGCGGGAACTGTCAAATTCAAAGTTATTCGTTTCACAGACTATAAAACAATTTACAATTTTTTAGTCGTCATATCCAAAATCCTATATTCTTAATTATGTTTATTTAAGGTCATTTAGTTAGCATTCAAACATTATTAAACAAACAAATACTGACCAGTTGGTAAAATCTCCTCACGAATTGTGTAACGATTATCTCCTTTGGGTTCAAGTCGTTTGTTATTAATCTTCCACAAAATACCAATAGGTTTTTCACCCTTGGCTTCGCATTGGAGTACGGCAGGATCACCACGTCTTGAGGTCTGATTACGGAACTTTACCTCAAAATGTGGAGGAGCTAGAACAATAAGAAACTGTTAGTAATATATTTTATTCGATTATTTCAAAGTGTCTTTACAGCAAAATTATTATACTAATATCTATTAACTGTCAAATTTAATAATTAGAATATCATAAGATCTATTAGTACGAGAGCTAGCAACGTCGGAAAAACAAGTATTTTAAGACGTCTGGCTCTTTGATACATCTTTTACTATGCTCTCTAGAACAGCATGCGGCCCGTCTGGCTGCTGGTAAACGTTGCGTTCCCTACTGCGCATTGAAAGAAGATCCTATATTTTTATTAGTCCTTTAAATTCTAGTATTGAATATAAATCGAACATGTCTCCATAGCGCAGTGCGTAGAGTTTCCGAACACGAACCGAAGATTCAGAGTTCATATCCGGGTCAGGTCAAAGACTTTTTTATTTTTATTTTCGTTTATATTATGATAATAAAGTATTAAATATTTGTTTTTTTTTATTACCAGAATTATTTAATACTTTACTATCAGAATATAAACAAAAATAAAATAAAAAAGTCTTTGACCTGACCCGGATTTGAACTCTGAATCTTCGGTTCGTGGTCGGAAACTCTACGCACTGCGCTATGGAGACATGTTCGATTTATATTCAATACTAGAATTTATAGGACTAAATTAATAAAAAATATAGGATCTTCTTCAATGCGCAGTAGTAAACGCAACGGGTATCGGCAGCCAGACGGGCCGCATGCTGTTCCAGAGAGCATAGTAAAAGATATATCAAAGAGCCAGACGTCTTAAAATACTTTCTCGAAAACGTTGCTAGCTTTTAGACTATATTAAGTACAATGAAAGTATAAAGTATTAAGGCAGAATTAAATTATTGTATTGGTGTTTTTATAACTTACCTTGAACACTGATGAACACTACTGCACTTAATCCAGAGCCAATACCATTGACTGCTTCGCATAGATAGTACCCTTCATTTGTCTTTTGTATATTATTAATGGTCAAAGTTCCTTCGTCAACTCTTACGTCAGGATTATTTGGTTTAAAATCTTTGTAATCGCCAGGTGATACCCCTAGAATTGTAAAGAAAATGTTAGAAACTGTTTTATCATCACTAAAAGTAAACTAACAAAAAGAAGAGTAAGTATTATTCTGTGCATAAACAAAAAAAACGTACCTGTGGCCCTTTTCCAAGTTACAACAGGCTTGGGGAAACCATCGGCTTTACATTCAACTGCGGCGTCTGAACCTTGGGCAAAAGCCTTATCGGTAGGTTCCAAGATCCACCTTGGTGGCACTAAAAGTGAAGTCGTTTTTATAGATTAAATCGGTCTTTTTGTCCAGATTTGGAATACATCAAGCATGCAGCTATGAAATTTTGAAAAGAGAAACGTGGACAAACTATACTGAAAATTTAAAAGATGTAATAAAAATGTGATTTAATAAAAACTACGTCACAGTAAGCATAGAAATATATATTTTAATTCAATCTTTACTATGTCTATTGCTGAAGTTCTTGACAGTGACAGTGACATCTGTCGTGTAAGATACTTGTTTTTTGATTTTTTAGATACTGTTAAAGCTTAAACTTAAATGTAATTTCTATGCCTTCTATGATGCCGATTTTGTTCCAGTATTTTGAAAAATTATTTTTAAAAATATTTTTTAAAGATTAACTATTTTGTAATAAATTTTATAAATTGTTTGAGAGAACAAAAGTCCACGTTCTACATGCATTTTTTTGCCAAATATTGTTAGTAATGATATTAGTACTGAGATATTAATAAAAATATATTTGCTATACAGGGTGGTCCGAACTGTATTCCGAAAACTTCGGAAGCATATTCTGCAGATAAAATTAAGTAAAAAAGTTCGTATTATGTCCTAAAATCCTTAGTTTCGGAGATACAGGGTGTAGAAGTGTCATTTTCATTTCGATTTTTTCCAAATAATTTCTGAAGTAACGTCAATATTTTGATGAAAATTGGTGTCTCGGAGTTTTTTGACATGAGAAATTTTATTTTGATGTCGATATGACTCCTACTTGTAGAGGTAACTTTTTTACTTATTTTTCTCTGCAGAATATGCTGTTCGGACCACCCTGTATAATTAATTTTATCACAAAATGTGGATATAGACTCGTACAAAATAATTTGTATACCATGCCATATTTACTTTTTGGTAATGTATTTTCAATGTACAGAAGGTGTAAGTAAATAAAGTAAATATAAAAAAAATCTCGGTAGTATTATTTTTTAAAAATAAGTTGTACTTATAAGTATGTACTATTAAAATATTTAAGTTTAGTAAACTGTATAAAGAGATGTTTAGTAGTCTTTTGTAGGTATAAATATATCTACTAATCATTATAAGCATTAAAAATAGAAGTATACTTTAGCTAAATATGTTAAACACAAGCCTATAATATTTAATAATAACAAATATATTATATTAAGATCTCAGACGAGTGATAAAACTACATAAAATTAAAACAAAACAGGTGAGAACAAAAAATAAAGCATGCATTGTGAACTGAAAAAACTAAACACAAAAAATGAGTGCTAGGAAGGTGGAAAAAAGGAAACCCTATCTATATCTCAGCCAATAGGAAAGAAGGAACAAAAGGATTTTAAGGATAAGACTGAGAGTGACTGAGATAATTTAATGAATATCGATATCTGATTCTGTTAACACTCAGTGCAAAAGTGGAAACTTGTGCTGTTTTCAGACCGAAGGAAGATTCAGAATTTCTTGATTATTCTAGACAATAAATCTGCGAAGAATTTGACCAGAAGAGAGGACAAAAACTCGATGTTAGCCACACAAGGGATCAAGATGCAAGGTTGCTTAGTAAAGTCCCCCATAGACGTCGTTCTTATTTGTCAGTTTTGCCTGCTCGGGTAAAACTGTCTGGGAATGCACGATTAGCGACCACATTTACAAACTTAACGTTTATTTTTCGGTTTATCTAAAATAATTTCTTGTTTCTTTTAGCATCATTATTGTCAACAGATACAAGATGGATCTTGTAATAATGTTGACAAACGCAGTAGCTTCAAGTCAAGATGATAATGATAATAATAATTTCCATGTTTTAAAAGAATTTGGACAAAAAACAGGAGGTTTTTTGATCGAAATCAAATAAAAAAACGCAGAAAATCAATTTCCTGTTGGTTAGTTGTCTAATCTTTGTAATTTTACAATCATTTCTTGGATGGTATTAATTTTCTTAAATACATCAGAATATAATACTCAATAAATATAATTTTCCAAAAGCATGGATGGATTCCGTAAAGCTCTATAAATTTTGTATGTCACGTTTTATACGTTCAGTTATTTTAAAAACAACAATATATTTTTACTATGTCAGAAAACATTAAATTCGTCAAATTAAAATAACTAATTAGACAGACATAGAGAGGACATCTCAGAGATTATTCAAGTAAATATACAGGTAACTTAACATACAGGGTGTTTCAAAACAAGTGCGAAAAACTTTAAGAGATGATTTCTTGGTGGAAATTTAGATTAGTTTGTTACATAAACTTTTTACTTAACTATTTTGCATTTGTTTTGAAACACCTTGTATAATAACTGAAAAAAATATCAATAACACAGATGTTATCATTATTAATAATACTGAAATAGACAATAAAATTGAATTTATATTCCTGTGTTGTTTTTAACACTCTTAAAAAAGACGGTTTTTAGCCAAACACATTCTACGCGGGTGTTTTAAAACTGTCAAAAAAGAATGACGTCATGGAAGGCCTCAACAATCACCGTAAACATCCAAAGACGCCGTATACCGGGCGATCCCAGCCGAATTGTTAGCGCTACAAGTATAGTTTCCAGCGTTCTCCTCGCTGACAGCGTCAATAAGAAGCAAGCTGGCTTTATGGCCGACCTTCATCGTGCTGAAACCACTGTCGGGTTTGACCGATTTCCCGTTAAACGCCCACTGGATTTCTAAGGGTGAATCTCCTTCCGAGACCAGACATGTCACTTGCGTGGTGTGGCCGGTGTGAATGGGTGATTCGCCAAAGCTGAATGGTACTATGTGGGGTACGACTAGAAAAGGAAATGGGTGGTAGAAGAAATGAAATACGCCGAGACAGAATCTTTGTGTGAGATCTGCATCTATGTATATGTAGGTAGAGTATCTATGTCTAGGTAAGACAGTATCTATTAGGGTTTAAATTTGATTGGCTTTCATCTGTGAGGAAATGTTCTGGCCTGTTTTTATTTTAGGTAAGTAGGTTTTCATAATCTTTATCGAGTAGTTTTCGAAATATTACTATACAGTATGTCCCCGGATTGTCTTTACAAGAGGAACATTTTTTTAATATTATATAACATATCAGTGTAAAAATATTAATAAAAGAACTTTTAAAATATGCTCTACTATTGCTCGCACATTTTATAAAAAAAGATTGTCGCGAAAATCTCAATTTAATATTTGAAATAAAGCTTTTTCAAAAAACTAGGTCACCCTGTATTATTTTCCAGGTCTTTAAAATCATAAATAAAGAAGCTGTTACTAGAAGCACCATGATATTATTGCAATTATTCACAGTAGAGGTTTATCCGGTTTTTTTTTCATTCATAGCACTAAAATTTGTTTGGCTTTCGAGTGTTTTTTAAGAATTTTTAAAGGGATGGAAAATAGGAATATTTAAATATGAAATAAGAATGCTAACTGGCAATTGCCTTCCTAGTAGAACCAGAAACAAGAAGAAGAAGAAGAAGAACCACTAATAAATATAGAAAACATTAACTTGTAACGTTGTGACGAAGGAGGTATTTCATAGAGCCTTCAATTCAATATTAAAAATAATTTCCAGTTGTTTTAAAAAAGACTAATTCGTTTTAAAATGTACTCCTCTTCCTAAATTTAACCTCCATGTGAGATTTCAACACTTATCTACCTAATTTTTTTTTAAAATTACATTATAGTCTAAGTTTAAGTCCAAAAAAGTTAATCTGAACATAAACAACTTCGTGTGGAGTGCGATACAAGATGATACTGTGCAAGAGATAACAAAGACATGATTAGAAGAAACATGTAAACAAAATAAAACAGTGATGATGAACATTAACTATATATAACACGCAACATTCTATCTACCATTAACCCGAAGATACGCAGAATACTTGGACACGCCTGCAGCATTTTTTGCTGCGCAGACATACTCTCCGCTATGACTATAATTGACGTCATCAATACTAAGCTGGGTTATACGCTTGCTTGTTCGCATTATGTTTACGTTTTGCCTAAAGTCAATCGATTTGCCATTAAAAGTCCATTTAATCCCAATGGGTAAGTCACCTTTGTTCACAACGCAGGAAATAAGGATAGTATCGCCGGAATTCACTGGTTCATCACCAAAATCAAAAGGAGTGATCTGGGGAGGAACTAAAAGAAGGAAAAAGGTTGAATTTTCACATAAAAGCGTGAACAAACTACTAAAATAATCAATGAAGATGTTTAAGAACCGTTAACTTGTAGTTCTGTAGTGTGAGATGATTTTCCAGCTGCGTTCATAGCTTCACAAGTATAATTTCCTGCAATGGTGTACGATACTGACTCTATGGTTAGAAAGGAACTCCTTTTGCCTCCCTTATTCACTGATATTTCTGGATAAGTATCAATAGACTTTCCATTCAGCTTCCAAGAAATATTTAGGGGAACGTCTCCTTCAGTAACTAAACAATTCACTTGAGCATAAGCTCCTTCGTGTAGAGGGTTGCCTTCAAAATAAAATGGGGCCATTCTTGGAAAAACTGTGAAGGAAAAGCTATATCAGTTGATGGTAAGGATGATGGAAAGGCTTTAATTAAATTTAAAAAAAATACAAATCGAAATACATTGTATTTCTTTAGTATAATTTTCTGCAATGCTGTAAGACGCTGACTCTGTGATGATAACAAAGAACTCCTTTTGCCTCCTTTATTGACAGATATTTCTGAATACTTGTCTATAGGCTTTCCATTGAATTTCCAACTACTATTTAAAGGAACGTCTACTTCAGTAACTAAACAATTTACTTGGGCATAAGAACCTTCATGAAGAGAATTGTCTTCAAAGTAAAATGGGGTGATTCTGGGAGAAACTATGAAGAAAATTTCGTGTAAAGATGATAATAAAGAAATAGGATTAAAACTGTTCACTTGCATTGATAATTTGGGTTTTAAGTACTACTAAAATAATAAAAAAATACTGTTTAATAACCGTTGACTTGGAGTTCTGTAGTGTGAGATGATTTTCCAGCTGCATTAATGGCTTCACAAGTATAA